ACACTTTCTCTGTAACCGCTGGCTCTGCAAAGATACTCACAGGTTCGCAAATCAGATCTTAAAGTTACTTTAGAAGATACAGCCCCCTCTCCCCTCACACCCTCTCCCACACCCTCTCCCACACCCTCTCCCACACCCTCCCACTTATCCCCTTCCACACCCTCTCGAATGACACACTTTCTCTGTAACCGCTGGCTCTGCAAAGATATTCACAGATTCGCAAATCAGATCTTAAAGTTACTTTAAGAGATACAGCCCCCTCTCCCCTCACACCCTCTCCCACACCCTCTCCCACACCCTCTCCCACACCCTCCCACTAATCCCCTTCCCCACCCTCTCGAACGACACACTTTCTCCGTAACCGCTGGCTCTGCAAAGATATTCACAGATTCGCAAATCAGATCTTAAAGTTACCGTTACCATTATTTAAAAGTACTCCCCTGTGATTGAATTGTGCGTAAATCTAGTCTGAAATGTGCAGAAAATGTAGAGCACAGTTACCAGCACATGAAGTGTAGAATAAGTTAGAAAAGGTCTTTTTTTTTTTTTTTTACATAGACATGGATGTTAAGCTGGTTCTGTTAAGCAAAATATGAGAAACATATGATACTTACAAATGATCATAATCATTGTCATCAAATTTGTTGGTATGCTATGGCTTGAAACTGTGCAAAAATATTTACCAAAGCCAATTTTTTGAAGGAATATGTATATCAATCAGATTTTGTTAAGGGGGAGATTATCTTACCATTCCTAACACATGGGCAGATTGGATTCCTCATGAATACTAACATCAAACAGTACCTTTAACGTGCTAAATCGATTCCATTTCATTCCAGGGCAGGGTAGGGTGTTGTATCTACTTAAAATTCATGGCTTTATTGTCTATCCCTGGTTGTGTTGTATGGAAGGAATAAGGAGCAGACGCGGGGAGAGAGAATTGCCACATACCTGGGACTAGTGTTAGGTTGTTATGAGCCTTCCTACAGGTATATCTCACAGGTATATCTCATAGCTAATCCTTCTATGCATGATATATTATTTCTCTCAATCTCTCTCTCTCTTTCTCTATCTCTCTCTCTCTCTCTCTCACTCACTCTCTCTCTCTCTCTCTCTCTCTCTCTCTCTCTCTCTCCCTCCCTCTCTCTGTCTCCCTGGTTGATTAATTTATTTCCATCCTTATGTTATTTCATGCTGCGTTCCAAACATCTTTTATACTGCAATTGGGGGTAACAGATGTAGGATTATCCATATCATCCTATGATGCCTATCATCCATGATGAATTTTCTTAGAATTGGAGCCTGAGTGTTAATTTCTGAGCCCCTTTGTAATAACAAGTAATTACTATACTATTAATCACCTGAGAGCTGTGAACCTTAAGCAGTCATGCATACTCAGTGTTTCAATTGTTTTCTCCTCAATACCACATCTACTTCCAATAACTAGTTATGATAAATTTAAAACTTCAATAATCGCAATATCTTGCCTTGATTAATTAATGGAAACAAAATTAGTTGGATAATTTGAAGAGACTACCTCAACTGCAAAGACTTGTTACATCTCTGCTCTTTTCAAATAGGATGTTGTGGTACATCTGCCTCAAAATGTATCTGAGCATCAGATTATTCACACTTTTGCACACTTTTAACCTAGAATTTAGCTTCTTTTTGTAACCATCGATTGTAAGGATATTTTGATGTATATATATATATATATATATATGTTTTTCTATTATGACTTTTAAGTAATATGATGAAACCCTAGCCCAACTTGAACGTGTGAAGAAAACAAGTTTCAGGTGTTTTGTCTTTTGACTAGATTAAGTACTTGCAAATTGGTACCTGGTACGATTTATTCCTTGCACTCTCCATGATGATGATAGTGGCTACTCAACAGGAATATAATGTCTAAATGGTAAAGGTCATATATATGCCCTACCTTTTATAGTGGGTAGGCACAAATTATTTTATACAATGTTACACTAATGGCTCAGTTATAAATTTGTATAAGCTGTTGTTTTTGGAAAGGAAAGTAATATAATACTCTGTATATGAGGGGTTCTATTATGAATACTTTTACATTTATAGATAATAATGCATCTGTCTTTAATTAATTGATAAAAAGGTCATCCAAACTAAAAACAAAATTAAAGATGTATAGGATATCTGTAAATCTTTCAAAGCATTGATTATTTGAACTGCAAATCAGATAAAAGGTTGTAGCTCAACTTGTCATCTTTGCAGTCTGCTACAAGAATATTTTAATTCTTAATCAGGTCATACCTAAGCTGAAAAGAAAAAGCACCTGGTACATTTGTTGGGACTTTGTCATTTCTGTATGCTTAGGGCGATGTCCTCATGCAGTATCCAGATACCTGTGCCTGTGGTCGCCTCAATAGTATTGCTCTCTGTCTCACGGCGCATCCGTGGAACAGTTTGGAAAGATGGAGGAGAAGAGAAATGGGAAATAGAGGCTACATTTAGGTGGATAACACTCTATTGAGGAGCTGTTTATCATGCTTTAACTCTTTGAATGTTGTTTACTCCCAATGTAAGTCATTCTTAGAACTCCACACTAGTCTCATCTACTGCTGTTATTGGGATTGACTACAGTGGATGGTGGCATCTTCTCGTCAGAAGAGTATTGTGCCTTATAGCATTGATGTATTATGTGTCCTGGCATACAGCTCTCCTCTTAATGCAAAACCACCAAAGAGCGTCATGAATTAATCATGAAGCTTTTAGTGCTGCCCAGCACAGAACATCTTTTTATACCCTTTTCGATGAATAACATTGTCCGGATATAATGCAGGGTGGCTATTGAAAGCCAGGCAGGAATGGACAAGGATAGGAAAACAAAATACAATTTAATAATTATTGTCCCAGGTCTGATTAAACAATATGTCAGTCATGAAAGCGCAAGATTTTCTTTCTCCAATATATCAAAAGAATTTCAATGAAACTTGTCAATAATTTATTTCAAAAGCAGCTCTGTTTTAATTTCAATGTCACCTATACGGCTTTAATTTTCCATGGAGGGATTGTAGACTTTTGTACCAGGCTTTACATGGTAATCAATGTACAGTGAAGCTCACTGTATATATGGCCAGGTCCAAGGTCATATCAGACGATCTTTTTTCTTGTCATAGTGTTGGAATTACTTCCATCGTGCGTTTATCGAATGGCAATAAATTAAATTGTTTTATTTAAATTGTTCATCTGTTAAACAGCTACCAAGACATTTCCAGCTGTTTAGGATCACAAAAATCTGCATTTTAAATGCTTTTATACAACTATGCTGCCTTTCCATTTTTGAAACGTAAATAGTAGAATTTTCAGAATTAATACCTGCATGTCATGGCTATGCTTGCCAGGTGCTAAACATGAAACTTTTTGCACTTTTATTATCTACTTAAAACAAAGAAGGCTAATTTCCTTTAGTATTTGTATTAATTGACATTTCTAACACTATACTTCTAACAGCAAGCAGATGGAATTGTGAGAGTAACAGTGTGAGATAATATTTTACTTCTGTACTGCAAGACAGAATAACAAACATGATGCTTGTATCTAGATAACTAATCACCATCTAACATATCTCCTGCAGATGTTCTTCTTGGTTTTATTGGGTGTAGACCATTCATTTGTCTTCAGTTTTATTATTTATCAACTTTGGTCTTCATCGTCTGATTTCCCAGTATGATAGAAAATAGAAAAAAAACCTGTTGAGAGCTTAGAGGGTGTTAACTCATATAGTTCTAACACAAAGTTAATGCCCTTCTAGCTCCAAACAGACTAAATATACATTGATATTATTCTGTCAAGGAAGACAATGATGATGGAATGGGGGAACTACATGTATCTCTCATTTATATCTGGGACCCGTCCTAGAAAGAGTTGTGATCGATTAAAATCAATCACAACTTGTTGTCAATTACAACTCTGTTAAGAGATGAGAGTTTGCAAGTTTTCAGTTGATAGTAGGTCATATAAACTATCTTGATCAATGGCATATCTTTATAATACAGGGCCTAGTGAGAGAAAAAATATTACATTATTTTGTATGAAGTGTTACAGGTTTTAATACAATAATTATAACAATTGAAAATGAGAAAACTATCATACCTCGCTGGATGGGGCTTGTGTAGTTACCAAAGATGAACAAGGAGAACCAGTTATTTCATGTAATTTTTATCAATAAGCATTTTATCCATGTATTTATTATTAACAAAATTAGAGATTTGTTCTTCTATCTATTTATGTAAAAAGCTGTGCTCACAATTACCCCTGAATGTTTGTATTTACTCTTCATTTGTGTGTGTGGATTCCTTGCACTACATGTATGTATATGTCATTAATTTATCAAAGTCAACATTTGCTCTCTACAGCTTCACAATTGATCACAGCTGATATGCTTTTAATAATCATTTCATTTCCTTTTCTCTCCTCTCCTCCCCACCCAATTTTCGTTTTCACTATCCTAACATATACATTAATATTGCTATATAATAACATACTAACTATTGAATTTTGTTGTTATAACTTGTTGAGGTCTTACATAACATTTCTCACATATCAATGCAATCTTTTGAACTGTCAAAACAAAAACAAAAAAATCATATCTTTTGAATTTTCATACATTGTGTTCATTAAAAAAAACAAAAAAACTTGAAAACAAATCAAATTCTTTGCAAATTCTTCCCAAACTTTCAATTCAATTTCATTTGATTTTACTGATGAATAATTCATGTGGAATAAAAAAAAAAAAATATTTGATTGATTTGCTGTGTAATATATATTCTTTTTTGGGTGCCTCCCATAAAAATTAAATGGATAACAACAATACTGATACAACCCTGTTTGTATGGGCTGTGCCATTATTTGTTGTTGTATATTCCATAATATTAATTACCCCCAATAATGCCCACATAAAAATATAACTTGTATATATATATATATGTTTGTGTACAATGAATGTTATGCATGCTTTGTGAATGTAGACACTGATAAAGACCCTAACTCTAACTCTCCTACCAAAGAAAAAAAGAAAAAGAAGCGGAAGAAGAAGTTTGTGCGGATCAGACGTGCAGAGAAACGGTTACGCTTCGCCATTCGTCATGCGGTCAAGACGCAGGCTTTCTATTGGCTAGTCATCGTCCTTGTATTTCTCAACACCATCTGTGTAGCTATAGAACACTACAACCAACCCCATTGGCTAGAACAATTCTTATGTGAGTACCTCCTTACCTTCTTAGCTTTTTATTAGTATATGGGAACCTATATTGTACAAGCATTGCTTTGTAATAGGTTCCTCATATTTCACGTTAATGATTATGTACTGCCATCATTCTTTTTTTTGTAATTATGTTTTATCTTGCTGACCTTAATAATATGGAAACTGTTATTTTGTGGAATGTGAAACAATAAAAAAAAAAACAAAAAAAAAACAAATAATCTCTTCGTACCACAATGTATATATCATTGAATAGAAATACCAAAGGCTTGAAGGTTTTTTTTTACCTGTTTTCATTACAAGATTAATAGAAACTGATGTTAAAAGGGTTGTCATGGAGCTAATCATGACCGGAAATTGGTAATTTTGCAAAGCCATTGTGTTGCATAAAGCAATCCTCTTGTCGATTGGTGTCTATTCTTTTGTGCAAAACTGCCCATCTGCAAAATTGCGCATGTGGCAAATAGGCAACTGCGCAGAGAGGCGGAGGAAGCAACCAAAGTGTTAAAGGGTACCAACAACCCAAAAAAAATATTCTGTAAATTGACTCCATAATGGTATTGTTCAAAATTATATGTTTGAAACCTCTGGAAATAGATATGGCAAGTTTGAATATCAGCGTGTGTTCTCATGTACGTTTAAGAGCAACTTCTAAGTGAAAATATGGTGTGCTTCAAATTACTATCTAGATAAGATGGGAACTCACTTAATGATAATAATAATAGGCATTTCTATGGCGCCGTTAATCTAGATAATTCTATTCCGAGGCGCATTTATTATTACCCCGGCTTTAGCCTAGCTGCCGTTTATACAGCGCTCCAGCATTTCAAGGAATTAATTCCTGCCAGGTACCCATTTACATCACCTGGGTTGAGTGTGGCATTCCTGATTTACAGGAAACATCATTCATTTCACAACTTTTAAAAGAACAATTAAAATTGTGGGAGGGGGGAAGAGGGCTCTAAAAATGAAATTTTGCAGATATGCAATATATGCAGATATTGAATTTGAGGCAGTAGCTCTAATAGAACAATTGAGTTGAAATGGGATTACCTGGGTTTGTAACTTAGCTAGCACACTTCAGCGCCATCAATTCTAAATTTCATAATTGCTTGCATTGGACTTGAAATGTGTGTGATGGTAGATTGCTACAAGCACATACTTATCATCTGCACTGACATGTACGAGGCAAAATATCGACCATAAAACTTTTTAATCATTGATTTTCACTATTATTTATCCTTATCTATCCTAAAACTCTTTTGCCCCTCGACATAAAAAGTTATTATGTATCTACGTACATTACAAATACTGTGACTTATCAAATATTTATTTTTCATATCCTTTTTCTCCCTACAGACTATGCAGAAATAGTGTTCCTTTGTATCTTCATAATGGAAATGGTCATAAAGTTATATGGCCTGGGGCCTGGGGTCTACTTCCAATCAGCTTTCAACAAATTTGACTGCATTGTAAGTATTCCAACGCACCCAATGTATTCTAAAACTCTTGTTCAAAAACGCAGTAAACAGCCGCAAAGAAACAACAATGTAGCAGTTTTTAAATGGGTAAAGGAACAACAACTGGGCGCAGTATAGGCCCTGGACGTATTCACTAAGCTCTGTGTTATAAAATACAGAAATGTGAAGAGTTTTTACATCGTTGTAAACAAAATCTGCTGCGGTTTTGTTGCATCATAACAGAACAAGGCTCAATCCATACTTTGCAAGTCCTTGCAGTGCCATATGCTCAAATTTGCAATTTTTATGTTTTAACTGGGAAAGATCTATGTACCGTGTGTGTATGCTAATCATGTGAAGGAATATGGGACCACCACAACTACAACAAAATCCCTGAAAATTGATTGATAATATCCATTTGTAATATATTCAATACGTTTGTGCAATCAGGGCATGTAACCAATCAATCATTTCAGTTTTTTATATTTATTTAAGTTAAGAAATGAGTAAAATTAATATTTGCCCATATAATTCAGTATTTTTATTTTCAATTTATCAGATTTATTCTGATATACTTAATTCAGTTTAAAAGCTTAGTTTTCTATGTGTATAGTGGTAGATAATTTTATTTATAAATGTGCACGAAGATATTTAAATTATGTATCTTAAGGGAACAAAGCAAGCCATTACCAAATGGAATCAATTTATGTATGACTATTGTTTTGTCATTACCAAAATGTATCCATGTTTTGTATCACATTTTTGTTCTTTGTAAACTTTGTCCGAACCTTTACTTTACATGTAGGCGAAACAAATATATTCATGTTAAACGTACATTGGACAAATAAATACATTGAATTGAATTAAATTAATTATTATTAGGCAAAATTAGGATGAATAGTCAGTATTGAATTATAACCAAGTGATAAATATTATACCACCACAAACAGCAACTATTAAACCTGTTTTTAACAGAGAAACAATATATTCATTTTCCATTGTGGAACAGGTTATATGCGCGAGCATGTTCGAGGTAATCTGGACTAAATATAAAGAAGAGTCATTTGGCCTTAGTGTACTTCGAGCTCTTAGACTCCTTAGGATATTCAAAGTAACAAGGTAAGTCATGTGATGTCTTGTCCAGCCAATCAGATCTCTTTTATCAATTGTCCAGTTTGAACTTTGACCTGCTGCATTTATTGGATAGTCAGACGTTTCACCATTTCTTCCTACTATCAAACTATTTCTCTCTAAGTTGATTTCCGGGAGAAAAAGTTTAGTTATTACTGTACCATTCACCCTCCAATCAGTCTGATTAATTTAGACAATTTATCTAAGTATTGGATTGTTTCTTTACTTGTCAATTATCTTTCCACAAATGGGACATAGTTGTTGAGAACAGGAACCAACATACTATAATTTATTGGTAATTTTTTGACAATTGCAAAGTGATTTCTGCCTTTAAAATCCATGTTTTATAAACATTCCAAAAAGTATGCAGGGAGATGATGTTTTCATTTTTTTAAATTTATGAAATGGTTTCCTATGGATGTTTTATTTCATGTTCTAATTTGTGTCACTCATTAAACTATTCATTGATATTTTGATAATTGTTCATGTTTTTTCCTTTCTCTGTTTGATTTCATTGATTCTTGATGTAAATGTTTGCTTTTATCGATTGAGTGAGTAATTGAAAACATGGACAACATCATATATTGGCATTATTTTGAATCTTCCTTTCGATTGTAAACAAGTTAACTTAAAAACTACAGTACCAGTACCGGTAGTTTATCTCTGTAATGGGTTAAGTGTGCATTGTGCCCTGTGTTCGGTCATACGCAGACTAAGAATACAGTTGTTTCGCCTATCACATCCCCATCATTGCAAATTCTTGATTTCCTATCCCATTCTGTTGTCTTCACCCCATAAGTGTGATTATCACAAACACCTATATTCATGTTTTCAAGTAGGGTAACATTACACATTGTCACAATCGATTCAATGTAGCAGTCCTATGTAGTATTCATCAAATATTGATGATGGCTTGCTCGCATATTGCAATGTTCATGCTCTCAGGAAAAATCTCTCCTGATGTGAGCAACCCTACCTTCAAGATGAGTAATTAGCAATATTCATCCATGTGTATAGTATGCACATACTCCACTTCCGGATGACTCATGCTACTATCTCTATGGTCACACCTTTATATTGTCATCATCCTTCAAAAAATGCTTCAATTCTTAATCCCCTTTTGAGGTTAATTTATACCACTCATATCATTATATCAACTTGATTCTATCTGCATGGTATGAATACAAAGCTTGAGATTAGTAGGGGTACGGTTGGCAAGTAGCAATGGAGTTGAACAATGTTTCAATACTTAACCCTTTTGATGTTAATTTATACTACTCAAATCATGATATTAACTTGATTCTTTCTTCATTACACGAATACAAAGCTTGAGATAAGTGGGGGTATGACTGGCATCCGTCTGTCTCAAGATTTAATGAAGTCTGTGCTTATAAATAAAGTCAGTGTTTGTGGTGTACCTGCATCTCCTGCTGTGGGGATGGAGTGAACAGAATATTAATGCTATCATTAAAATACTGAACTCAAATAATAGCCAACGGGTTGATATTTTTTAACAGAGCAGACTAGAAAACAAGGAAATGAATCCCAAAGTTTGATATGATGAAATGTTTGTAAAAATATAAACAATGAAAAATGGCACCCTAATGAAAATCTTGTCTAACAAAAAAATATTTTGTAAGACATATTGGTAGATTTGGTGACATCATAAGTCTTAATAGACACACCCTTCTCAATTCTTGCTGTTCGAAATCTAAAGCTTTTTATCCTGGATATGAACAAGATTTCCTGATATTTATTGACTTTATCGCATTGCTCACAAAAGCTGGATATTTCCTGTATACAGCCGAAGGAGAATGAGAGAATTAAGGGATATATGCATCCTATGATTCATGATCTTATATATTGTGCCCTTTGAAGCAAACTTTCCTCCTTTTTTTTTGGTGTTTATTGTTGGTTGAATTGTTGGATCAAAGTGGATGATATTCATGTTTATATTGAGTTTCTTCATGCTGTGGTTGTTCCTTGGTTGGTAATATATTGGCGGATACTTCCAATCTAAATAATCTGATTAATTTCAAGGAAGAATGGATATTGGGTGTAAAGCTGGAGTGAAGAAAGGGGCTCGGTAGAGGGTGTCACTGTCACCCATTGATACGGAGTGCTCCCTAACTTGATTTAGGAAAGGTGCTCTCTCTTAGCCAGACATTTTAGGGAGACGTGTAATCCTCGCCCTGCTCTCTTTTTCTCTCATGGAAGTTTCTTTCCGTAACCATCTCTCTATCTATCTTTCTTTCTCAATTTCTCTCCTTTTATATTTCTTCCTGTTTTTGCCTTTCTCTTTCCCTGTCTCATATCGTCGCTGTTTTCACGAAGTGACGGTAGTGAAAAAAAATTGCATTCACTTTGCGTTACGATTTTCCTCACTACCGTCACTTCGTGAAAACAAGGACGATATGCATGTCTACTTTGCACTCCTACTTTCTGTCACTTTTCTATTCTTCTTCCTTTTTTTCTTTCTCTTCCCTGTTCTCTCTCTCTGTCTCCTTTTGTATCTCATGTACTGTTAGTTCTTCTTTGTTTCTCTACTTTTTTACCTTTAATTGAATGTCTGTTAATCTCCACCTCCTCACATTGTTCCAGCAATAATTTACAATGCAATTTTGATACAAATTGCTTTGCAATATCAAGGATAAATTAATAATTCTTTAAGACAAACCAATTTCTTGTGAAATAGGAATTGATCAACTTTTCCCAGAAACCAGTTTTCATGTGATTAATAGACAGAAGCTTTATTCTGCACGTTAATATATCTGTAATGAAATATTGAGACCGTAATCTACCCAATGCACCTTGAATTTGTAGTTTTATTACACCATAAAACAATTTTTGATTAATGAATATGTAGGTTGAAGGATTGGGGTACAATTGGTGGATTATAGAAGACAATAGTTGGATGTCACAAAGTATGGATTAGTTTTATATAGTCCCAGACTGTTACTCAAGACTAGAATTCAGAGTGTTGAATAAGAACACCCTCTTCTCGATGTAGTCCCGGACTGTTGCTCAAGACTAGAGTTCAGAGCGTTGAATAAGAACACCCTCTTCTCGATGTAGTCCCCTCTACTTGCTGTAGTCCCAGACTGTTGCTCAAGACTAGAGCTCAGAGCGTTGAATAAGAACACCCTTTTCTCCTCTTCATGGATTTGTTTGATGTAGTCCCAGACTGTTGCTCAAGACTAGAGTTCAGAGCGTTGAATAAGAACACCCTCTTCTCCTCTCCATCAATGTTTGATGAGATATGCCTGGCCGAACATTTCCGCTTGTTTTCTCCTCTTCTCCTCTCCTTCTCTCTCTTCCCATGCAAAATGGATGAACGGTTCATCAAAGATGCCTGCAAAGAGGACCATGGGATTGTACGCTACACCGAGCACTGCTCTCCCTAATTCATTATGATAATGGTGGAATCCACCACGGGGCTATACACTTACACTCGGCACGGCTGTCCGATCAAGCTTTGTTTCTGGAAATTATCAAATTCCGCTCCTCTCTGATTCTCCATGGGAGGAAATGAAGCCCACATCAGAGGTGTCTAAGTTTGTATTAAAACATCAAGGAGCTACGAGGCTAACCCATTGATTCCTGAATTACCTCACCCCCAAAGGCTAAACATAGGATCCGCCCAGTTCCAGTAAGCAGAGGGTTAACTCCCTGAGCCTACAATGCTTCAGCATTAGATGTTTAAAGGATATATTCAGGCTTAAAGCTAATCTTGAGCTCTGGTATGGGCATCGTATGTCAAGAGAACACGGCTAAAATTCATTCTGGGTTGTTTATCCTGCAGTAGATTGATTGTTTGAACCAGTAAAATAAAAACAAGCTTGTACAAATTTGCTGGAAATCATCTTCAATAAAAATCACTACTCACATTTGCACATAAGTGACCAGTGTTAAGTCCATGGTGTCAGGTCTGCTTACCTTGATTTCCTCAGCTTTCTATTTTCATTACTCATTCCCTATACGTTTCCTACCAAATCGTTTGGCACATGTCATTTATTTATGATCTTGAACATTCAGTGTAAGTTTTGTTGGATTCTGTGAGAATTTATATTCTATCATTACCAGAACTAAAGCTTATCTTTAATGCTATTAACACTTACTGATAGATTAATATGTTACTTTACCCTGGTGATAATCCCATTTTCATAATGTTTTGACAAGTTAATGAAGCTCTCTGTTAACAATAAACCACCCCAAAATTTAGATCACTGTTACCTGGAAACTCCTATCCCAGATTGTTTACAAGAGGAGTGAGAATAATCTAATGTCTTTAATATGCGGAATTACTTGAATATATCATCATTTTGCCAATTTGTATGTTGTCCATGTTTTCAATCTACCTTTTCTCCATATATTTTGCGATGTATATTACATGCTGTCTTTACCACACTATTGTTTGTTTGTTGTCTATGAAAGATGTGTATTTTCCAAACATTGTTTATTCAGGAGGTATAGCGTTCGATGATACATCTGCATTTCCCTCACTGGAAAATCTTCAAAAAACAAATTACGAAATGGACTAAAGTGCAATTTATTTCAATAATCGTTATAGAGAAAGAAATTGCATTTTTCTTTTTACTTGTGAGTGCTTTCCATAACAGGTTAAATGACTGCTAATTTTATTGTGTTATTGACTTGTTTCCTCTATGATATATATATATTTCCATCTCCCCCTCTTTTATACAGCTTTTGTATTCATCATTGTACTGAACCACCTGTTGTCAGTATTTGTATTGAATTATTTATGTTTGTGCTTTCAAATTGCCCTACTTCTATTTATGATAGATAGATCGGGTCCAATGGGTTTACTGCATATTAATATCTGTTTTTTTCTGCAGGTATGAAATTTGACACCTTTTGCGTGAGTGGTTTATAATACAGCTACACGTATACCACTTGTCAAGGTTTGTGTGGGTGTGTGTGGGCGTGGGTGTGTGTGTCTTATACCTTTTATGAGTGATGAGGACTATTATACTTATCAGGATTGAGTGTGTATGCGTGTGCAGCCGTTAAGTTTTCATATCGGGTTACACATTATTTTATGTGTAATCAGAATTTGAGTGGAGTAAAGTCATGGTCATGGCTGTATATGCATATTTTGTATGATATGGTAATAACTGTAGTCCTTGTGAATAGATAGGGTGTAAGGGCTTTCATGTTTCAGTACTTCAGTGGTAAAAGCATGGGATCTTATTGCCCAAGATACCAGCAACTCAGCAAGGACAGATAATCACAATATTTGTAGGAGTAGATCAAAAAGTGCAACTCAAGGTTAAGAAGAGGCCGCCACCCTTGCATTGTTTAAAATCATCCCTGAATTTTCATTTGATTCAATTATACTATCGCTGTTTCTTTTTATGACTATTTCCAATAATGCAATTTGGACAAGAGATAATTTCAATAATTATTGGATATTAAAGTCTTGATATATACATGTATATTCAATTTGTTGTCTGAATCATGATATAATCCAATTTTCACATATTTCTGTTGATGCTCGAAAAAATAGGATCAAAATAGCATGTGCAGATAAACTGTACACTGGCCTTTGTAAATTTACTCTTAGCTTTAAACAAATTTTAAAATAATATTATCGGCTGTCTTGTATAATTCTCAGTCTTTTTAAAGGGAAATAACAAGAGATAATTTCAATAATTATTGGATATTAAAGTCTTGATATATACATGTATATTCAATTTGTTGTCTGAATCATGATATAATCCAATTTTCACATATTTCTGTTGATGCTCGAAAAAATAGGATCAAAATAGCATGTGCAGATAAACTGTACACTGGCCTTTGTAAATTTACTCTTAGCTTTAAACAAATTTTAAAATAATATTATCAGCTGTCTTGTATAATTCTCAGTCTTTTTAAAGGGAAATCTGATTCCAGACCAAAAGTTAAAATTTGCAGTGAGATTTCTCTCCTAGCTGTGAAATGAAATGATATTTAGCATCCTTGATCTTCCTAATATAGATAAAGCATTATTATAATGTTCAGCTGTTAATTGCAATGCTGGAGTCGTATCCTATCTTAATTAATCTCTAGTATTATACCAAAAAATATAAACCTTTCTGTGTTTTTAATGAAGGACAACTGTACTATTGGACTGATATGGACTCTAATTGACACCTTGAGTTTTGATGAGGAATACCCATGTATATAATTATAACACTCTATAGGCATTGGAAAGCTTAATGCCCCAGTATTTGTCTAATCTATGTGTATGTGTAAGTGGGTATTATCATGTTCTTTTTTCCAGGACGCAAACGTTTATCATACCAGAAACGTGAATGTACTAGCTAGGATAGATCACTTTTACAATTATCTGTATGGTTATCTCAGCGTGTGAGCAATATGTATAAATTGACTGATTGTTTTCCCCTATGAACAGAGTATAAGTATAATCACTGTTGGTTTGTTTGTGTGAACATGATATTGGTTGGTAAGCCTATGAACAGAGTGTGAGTATAAACGTTGTTGGTATCTTTGTGTGTACATGATATTGGTTGGTAAGCCTATGAGTATAATAGTTGTTGGTTTTTCTGTGTGAACATGATTTTGGTTGGTAAGCCTATGTGTATAATCGTTGTTGGTTTTTCTGTGTGAACATGATATTGGTTGGTAAGCCTATGTGTATAATCGTTGTTGGTTTTTCTGTGTGAACATGATATTGGTTTGTGTGAACATGACATTGGTTGGTAATCTATCAGACGGTAGACAAGACGACCTTGTAATGCACTGTGTATGTGATGCGTTCACCAGAACTCTTCCCCTCGTTTTAATTACTCCTGCAGCTAGTGCCTGTCACTCCCTTTACATACACAAACACAGGGTAGCATGGGACCTATTATAATGCATTATGACGACTATTGCTAATGTGATTAACAGCAGCAGACAGGGCCTAGTCTCCACTTCCAAACTCTTTGTTCATAATCCTCATAATTTGTGCCTAATTAATGAGCATATATGATGTACTATAATCATGATTATTCCTACTGTAGTGGAGGGGGAGGGGGGGGGGGGGGGGGGGGGGTAGAGGGGGTTACATAGCCCTTAAAATGCAGCAGTTTTAAAAATTAATAGAGAATGTATGTACAGGTGTACAAATATTTTAGATTACCAAGTAAGCTTTTTTTGCGCAGACTTCACAGTTCACTAGCTAAATTGTTTTTCGTTTGTTGAATATGCAATTTACATGATTGGAGAGTTTCAATCAATATTAATTATTAGCTGAAAGAAGATGTGCCTTTTTGTCTCATGTTTCCTATATGTGTTTGGTACAGGTAGATAGAATTATAATCAAACTAGGCTTTATCATTACTGTACTTTCATTTCCCAAAGAAAATTAAAAATTACTGAAATCTAAATTACCTTTTTAGTAATTGCATTTCTTTTAGATATATTGATTATCTAAAAGTTATTTCATCTTGCATTTCAATTAATTTTGTTATAAATAACAAAATCAGGTCTGTGATGTGGAGACTAGGCAGCATATAGAAGCAGTGAGATGTGCCTTGAGATGCTGTAGAGCGGTCCCACTTGCTTCATGCTTTCCTCATCAACCAAAACATCTGCAATTTACCTTCGCTTTCCTAATTCAATTAACTTGTGCAAATCAAGAAATTGTTGTGCAATAACCTTCTTCAGGAATTCCACTATCTTCGCAGCAGGATCCGGCAGGATGAGATGAAACACTGGCATGTCTGCATATTATTTGTGTCAAGTCTTCCTGATCATATTCCGTTTTGTTATCGCTTCATACAGAATCAAGAAAATGCATATAATCTTCTACTTGTATGCTCACTAACACAATAATGGAGTTATTTGTGATTCTTTTCATTATCATTTTATGCATCGTCAACATAAAGATTTATGACATTGTTTAAGTGTTTGTATGCTTTAATAACCCTGCTTTAATAATCCTGAACAGTGTATCTATATACTCCCAACTCAAATCTATTCCCAACTCCTAAGTCAAATCTATTCCCAACTCCTAAGTCAAATCTATTCCCAATATGTATAAGTCTTGATAAAGAGCCTTGGAAATAGTGCAAACGGAGAAATGGTTTTCTCAGCAGATTTGTGCATAGTTTGATTTTAAAAAGCTGTTTATCAAGATTTTACCTGCATGAGAATGTATTTTTCAGAATGAGGGAAGAGGGATGCCGATGGATAGTGATTATAAATGGTGCTATCAGATGGTTGTATGAGACGCGTTCCAAGGACAATTGCTCCACGGAAAATTCCTGCTAATTCCCCCAAAACCCTGGTGCCCAACACTATACCTCACCCCATCCCTATAACCCTAAACCTCAATTACCACCCAAATGCAACCCTAACTCGGAGCAATTGCAACCACAGCAAATGGCAAATCACCTATAGGATGACTGCAATAAAAGAGACCCATTTCAAATTGCTATGTGAATCTTTAAAAGAAAACAAGTTTTTATTTTTAATGATAAACCTGGTCTTCAGGGTTTTTAAAATGTTTACATTTTCACTTATTACCGGTAGTTAGTTTTCTTTCATTTAGCATGGAACAACCCCTAACTGCCATTGTAGCAACCTAGTACATCCCAAACAATTGTATTTGTTATTAATCTTTATTGACCCTGTTTGCTCCCTCCCCCTAATTCCTAATGACTGTGTTTTATTAGAAAGTATATTTGTTATTGCCTGTAATCCCGTTCTAGACTCCTGAGTCTTGATAATGAATCATCAAACATTTTTTGGTCTAATGGACTAATGCCAGGTGTGCTGTACCTTGCAATGGAAATATGAATGAAATTTTGATGAGATGATATGAAAATTACTTTAAAACATCCTCTTACTTTTTCCAATAAGGACAGGAGTGTTCTTTTGTGTACTTAAAAAGAGTGTTTGATGATAAGAAAAAACATACCGACCTGGATATTTTAAAGAATATTCTGTTTCTCTAAAAGAGTAAATCAATTTCAAATCGTAATTTAATTTCACAAAAATGTCCTGACTCCTAAAGCATTATTTATGAGTAATGAGTTTCCTTAACTCAAGACTCTCAAGGGGTTCATGCTCAAAGCTAAGAGTACTCAAGACTCAGGGGTTGGTAATTCCTTTGTTACACCTCGTTTGGTTCGCATCTTTTGTCCCTACAGGTACTGGACCAACTTGCGTTACCTGTTGATTTCCTTGGTGCATAGCATTCAGTCCATAGTCAGTCTGGTATTCTTGCTATTCCTCTTCCTTGTCATCTTTGCTTTACTTGGTATGGAGTTCTTCGGCGGAGAGTAAGTATAGCCCCCCGGTCCCCTAACCCCCCCCCCTCCTCCTGCTCCCGTCACTCTTCCTACCATGATTACATTCTCCTGGATTGAGTACCAGTCTTCAATGTTTATGCATGTCTTGTGTGCTCATACTTGTTCATGTATGTGACTATCTTCCTCTGCTGATGATGGGTGTACGATCAACAAGGGGGTTGCGGATGCATGCCTACTCTCTCTGTAAGTGGTTTTGAGCTGCGTGTCATTGGAGGATGTGTGCCTGTAGAGGGAGCCCTGTTGGTATCCATCTCATGGTGATGTATAGGAAACGATCCGCTATAAAATGCTAATGAGTGTTCTCTCCTCTTCTCTACTGAATACAGGGTGTTATAGTGGTGATTGTGAGCTGCCTGCATGATGTCTAGTCTCTTCATCTTTCATGATCCACTGGTGATACCAATGATGCATGAGCCCTCGATCACCCTATCCTCCCGTTCAAAAGGGGGTTATTCCGTATCATGCACATCACCACTCTCGCTTATCATTGACTCATTCTCTTTATTTGATGTTCTTATCTCTCTCTCCCTCTTTTAGTCCTACAGTCGAGTTGAGTCAAGGCAGGGGAGGTTTTTGTATGATTCATTTGAGGGAATACATCTTTATGATTGGATGATATTACATTGCACCAGCACTAATTTGAATGTATTTTTTTTTCTTTTTTCTTTTTCTCTCCTCTATCTCTATTACATGTTTACTCTCTCTATTACATGTTTACTCTCTCTATTACATGTTTACTATCTCTATTACATGTTTACTATCTCTATTACATGTTTACTATCTCCTGCCCTTCTGTGTTCCTATCCTATTTCATGTTGTCATGCCACCTGTTGCATGTACGATGCTACCCTTTTGCATTCCTTCTCATCTTTACCTGCTCATCCTCAACTTTTCTTTTCACTACATACTCTTTCTCCTGATTTTCCTGCGTGTTCTGATTTTCCTGCATGTTCTATTTTCCTTTTTCTTCATCCTTCTCATCAAATCATTTATGTGTCTCCTCTTGCATGTATCCTTCACCCTTCCCCCATGTTCCTTTTCCAATCACCTTTCGCTCCTACCATCTCCATCCTTTTCTCTTGACTCATTTCTACCCCTCCTGCACTTGTTTGTACCCATCCCTCACCTATCATTCTATTCCTATCATATTATCTCCTCTACTTCCTCCACCTTCTTCATACCCCTTGACACCCCTTCTCACCATCTTACCATCTGCTCAATCTTCTGTTATCCCTCTTCTCTCCTTCTTCTCTATCTTTCCTCTATCTGTCTCTCCTTAATCTTCTTTTTCTCTAATTCATATACCCTCTTCATTCTGTCATGCTTTCTTTTTATTATCTATTTATTCACCTTCTTCTTTCTTTCCTTCTTTAACCTTTCTCTCTCTCTCTCTCTCTCTCTCTCTCTCTCTCTCTCTCTCTATCCTCCTCCTCCTCCTCCTCATCCTCCTCCTTCTCCTCCTTCTCCTCCTCCTCCTCCTCCTGCATGTGTATGTTTTTCCGTTCCCTACCTCAGATACTGGTCCTCCTTGCGGAACCTAGTGATATCCCTGTTAAGTAGTATGCGTTCCATTGTTAGTCTCCTCTTCCTCCTCTTTCTCTTCATCCTCATCTTCGCCCTCCTAGGGATGCAGCTATTCGGTGGAAGGTAATTTCAAGACAGTCCGATCCATTTGGTAGTTTGTTTCAGTGTGAAAAGCATTTTTTTTGTAAAGACATTGTTTTGAGTGAGTTCCTATTCGTTTAGACCAAACATTATTTGTTATACCCCCATTGTGATTGGCATATTTATCCATATATATGTGGAACATTTACCCGCAAAAAACCCTTCCTGGTTACCAAAGGTATAACACCCCCAATCATCCTGGATGACCCTTCCCCCTTGGTTTTATATAACATCACAAAATCCCACATGGTGTACAGTTTGGCATATACTAACCCACAGCTGAGGTGCGCACTGCCCCACTCATATAGTTTTACGTATAGTTGCTTACCTTAGAACTTCATTTAAATGCATCAAAGAACGATTACAGTTGTCCGATTACAGTATAACCATAATTGTGTTTATATTGTCCTAGTAGACCTTATTAGCACCCATGTACATATAAACTTGTGATATACTATGCATTTGTAATGTAGCTGTTACCTATATAGACCCTGTGAAATATTAAGCCTTTGTATTTGTGTCTTAAACGTGCCTCAATAAAGGACAGATATATTCTACATAATCCTATTGGTTTAAGCTTGCTATATACATGCATATATCCAAAATATTAATTGTAAAATGTCCATAAAGTTTTTACCTACGTGTACATTACATGTCCTAGATGTATGTTATACTGTTATTTAATATTATATCCTTTATGGTTAGATGCAAATATTATTTTAATATGGTCAAGCAAAAGACCAAAGTGGTTTTCAATTTCACAAATTATGTAGGTACATTAAACAACTCCCTAAGGAATTAGAAGTTATATGTAATTGAAACATGTTAGTTGTAGACATAGTATATTGGTGAATATGTTATAACTCGTAGATTGTGATCCTCGTCCCTCCCTAACTGTCTACATCTTAACTTTGCACCCCTTGTTATCAAACCTAATACCAGCACCCACATAAGACAACCACCTGCAGCTGCTATTTTAATGCTCCTGTGTATCCTTCTGTCCTCTCTCAGTTATATAAGGATTCATAAGGCCTCTCTTCATCAGCTCAAATTTGCTGAATAATCCGCTATTTTCAGACTCTGGATATTATCCCAATGCTCAAAATTGCGTCTCACCAGACCGATAAGCTCATCACAAACTAGCTCAGACAGGCACAAATTAGCTCGCAAATATTTCCAAAATAGCTGGATATTTTGGAAACAAGACCAATATTTCTTGGGATATTTTCTTGACCAATATCCCGCTAATTGCAACTGCGACTGATGAAGGCGCAAATTAACTGGCTAATTTGCAAGCGGGATAGTTAAAATAGTGGGTTATTTGGCAAACTCAAGCCGATGAGGACAGGCCTATGGTGTAAAGAAATGCCATAGTATATGAGGAGTCAAGTTCTTACAACGAACAAACTTGTTACTGGTGGAAAACTGGAAATGTGTAATCAAGCTTTTAGGGTTAATATTTTTTGGGGAGGGGGGGGGGGGGGGGGAGAAAAATATACATACCTTTACCATGACATACTGATGTGGTTTAGAATTGAGGAATAGACACTTTTCAGTGCTGGTGATGGTCTGCAAATAACATTAATCCCATGCCAATCAAAACCAAACTTGTTTCAAATGCATTATTTGAGCATACATGTATATCAAGTTTTTAACATGCCAAGTAATATTAATATTGTATTGGCACTTATAATCTAGAGTAGATGTTAACCTTGCAAGCACATTTTTAGTATACAGCATATATTACTTCCCATTATTGTGTGTGTGTGTGAATAGGATCCAATGGCTTAAACACTAGATCAGCTCAAACATTTACAAAGAAAATTAGGACTAGAAAGAGGGAAGAATACTATCCTAAAGAAGAAATAGTCTGCAAACTTATGTCTTGAATCTATGCACATGTATGTGATCTATATCTATTTGTATGACTCTGTTGTCACTGTTTGTCTGCACAAGTATTGCTTCAATTGCTGTTGCATGATTTTAGAGTCTGCTCCATGTAACCTACTGTGTACTATATCTACTTACAACTCTGCTGCCTTGTTATATCATCACCATGCACCCTTCCTCTATTTCAAATGTGTGAATTTACTAACACCATATCTCTACCAATTCATTGCGCCTATAAGAATGTAATAATGGCCTGTAGTGGTCAATAGAGGGCACCTCACTCGGGCAGTATCTGACAATTTATGATACTCAGACAATACTTGATGCACTCCCATATAGCTCCTCTGCCAAATTTTAATTTGACTCTAATCCCTCTTTTCAAATATTTCATTTCATGAATATGGGAAGGCTTACATGTCTAAATGCTCACAGTTTATATATACTCAGTGGGATTCCAAAAATATAAATTGGCCTTGAAATCAGGTTGTTTTATTGCCCAAGTGAAGAGCCTTCTTTTGGTATCAAATATTCTGTTCGGAGTCAGAAGGGGGTTTAATAACTCTGATAAAGCTCACTGTGTATAAGAGTTAACACCCTTCTGGCTCCAAACAGACAAAATGGTAATTCCCAATCCTCCAAGTGAGCGTAGACAAATGTAGGGCATGCAAAACCATGATGGCTTTCTAACAAATGACAACATCTTGCCAATTAACAAATATCTTTGACCTATCAGGGATCTTGTTAGTCAGGGCAGGCAAGCACTGGAGCTTAATTTAAACTCGGATGCATGCTTGCCCTGCTTAGATAAATCCATGATACTCAGATGGCAAAGGTCAGATGTTTTCCTTTGTTGAAAAATATCTTGTTTTACATGCCACAAAGCTCCCCAAAAGCTGAATAAAGCTGATATATATATATATATGTCTGTCAGCATTCATACAATTCCTTCATGGCCTGTGTGGATCTGTCACAGTTATCCTTATTAACAAAAATGGCCATCATGTATTTAAAGGTTCTAAAAATGTTTTAATGTGATGGTAAAATTTCATTGAACACATACAAAATATGTGAATGGATGTCTTGATTTCAGAAATAAACAAGATTTGCTACCATACATTCTGGAATAAAACAAATTTGCTACCATATGTTCTGAAATAAACAAGATTTGCTATCGTACATTTCGAAATGAACAAGATTTGCTATCCTACATTTTGAAATAAACAAGATTTGCTATCATACATTCTGTAAAATCTGCCTTCATTATATGAACGATATATCTAAATAACAAATGGGCTTTGCCAGATCAAAATTGGTTTATATCTTTTTTTTCTTTGTAGGCCCCAGAATTCTTCTAGAACATGAACTGTTCCAAATCTATGCAGGCTAGGAGGCCCTTTATAATGCATATGTGTACAATATATATAGATATATACATGCACTTTTATTTAACTTGTTTTAGTTATTGTATACATGTGTATATACATATATATGAGAAATGAATTTGCAATGACAAAGTTGCCATTGAATTTGGGACTTACAAATTAAATTTTAACTGTCATATAGAACTTCATTGTTGTCCTCTGAGGAGTACTAATCCTAACGCTTGTTTTCAATAATGAGATCGCTTTTGCTCAAGCAAGGTACCCCCCCCCCCCCCACCCAACAATCAACAAACAAATAAATAGTTGCAAAAAATTGCAAAATGTAATATGATCACATTTGGTTTATGGGAACTGACAAAAATGTATTTTCACCTGGTTTGTGCTGATTCAATTAAATGTTGATCACCAAAATCGTCTTGTTTTCCTCATCTCATTTTCGTACAAAAAATAATTCTTGGATCAGATGTTGGTAGTGTTGTAATTTAGTTTGTACATGTAATTTAGTCTTTATTACACATTACATGTATATCACTGATTATACTACGTTTACAATGTATAAGCATAAAGATGCTATTGACATCTCAATGTTTCTAGGTTTATGGTTAGAATAGGATAGGGGTGAACAATCTCCAAATGGTGTTATGTCCGTAAAATAGAATACCTGAACATTCTTCTCAAAAGGTTAAACTAGATGTCACATGGATAAAGTTTCTGAAAAACAAAACTATTTCCTATATGCCAAAGGTGACAACAAAGGGCTGGTATGATCAAATTTAATGCAGGTGACGTCCAAGCTGCAATAAACCATGAAGAAATTCACAGCACTGATATTAACAGTTGAGCTGACAGAAAAATTAACGCAAAGATTTCAAATCTTACTTGAAATAATGACAGGATGTTAAATAATATGTTGTCCAAATTTTTTACTATACAGTAAATTCTGACCTTTGGCATACATAAGTTATTTCCCCTCACTGAAATCAAACATGTATGAAAGGAAATATTGTTACTTGGTCATTCAAAAGGGAAAATAATATCAGTAGCTTTTCCCCTTTTGTCAGCTAATAATTATCATTCTCTTCACCAAAGAATAGACATTATAATATTAACATTATTATACTAGAAAAGTGGTAAAAAATTGATGTGATACATGAATCAAAAGATTGACTATAACCTTAAGATTTCTTAATTAAAGTGAACCAACTTCAGTGTATTTAAGCCTCCTGCCTTAAGCCTAGCTTTTGCAATCATAAAATGTACTTTAGCAAGCCGCGATCTGCATATCTTTTATTTTTAAATCTCAAAACCTGCAAATAGTGCAGTGCAATTATTTCATAGGAATCGCTTGTGAATGATATGTTGTGATCTTTTTTATTTGTCTGGAATCGTAGCTTCAATTATGACGCGACACAGGCAAAACCTTCCAGTAATTTTGACACCTTCTGGATAGCTCTCATAACAGTATTTCAGGTAAGCAGGAGAATTCGTTTTAATTGTTGTAATTTCTAACAAAATATGTTTTTTAAAGGCTTAGAAGAATTAGATGATGACACAGCAGGAGAATTCGTTTAAATTGAAATTTCAAACAAAATATGGTTTGAAGGCTTAGAAGAACTAGATGATGATTGACACAGTGGATTGGATTTCAAGCCTTCCTGTATGACCGATCGTTACTCAACTTGGCAACCACACATATAAAAGAACAAAATACTCTGCTCTTATTAAATCCCATCATTCTGACATTTCGTTTCATTTTGTATAGAGATCAGCTTGGGTATCTGAAGAAGAAAAACAACTAATCTTTATTCTGATTGCTTTTCCTGTTCTCTCTTTATCACCCACTCTCTCTTTTTCTCCCTTTCTCTCTCTCTCTCTCTCTCCTCCTCCCCTCTCTCTCTCTCTCTCTCTCTCTCTCTCTCTCACCGTTACTCTCTTGCTTTCTCTTCCCCCTCTTTCCTCTTTTTCTATCTCTCTTGCTCTCGCTCCCCTTCTCGCCCTTACTCTCCCCTCTTTCTTCTTCTCACCATCTCTGTGTGTATAGATCCTAACTGGGGAGGACTGGAACGTCGTGATGTATCAGGGCATCAAGTCCCAAGGCGGGGTACCAAACGGAATGTGGGCGAGTATCTACTTCGTCATTCTGGTGCTATTTGGCAACTGTATCCTTTTCATCGCGGTGATACCAAAATCATTCACAATTCAGCAAAATTAGTTATTATGTAAACCTTTTTTGTCTTTATTATTGCATGGAATCTGTTACTGCCGGAGCTGACTGATGCAGTGGTTTATTGACTTGACATCCACCTTAGAGGCAAATAGACCGGCTTGTCCTTAGGCAGTCATTTTATTGTAGTTGTTACTCTCTACCCAGGTGAAGTAAGTAACTCTTAAAAGGCAATGTATGGAATGCTAGAGCACCAGAACACCTCAATAGCAGCCATGGTAAAGATGGGCCAGAGAATCTACAAAATTATTCTGGACTAAATCAGAATCTGCAGTAAATCAGAATCTGCTACATGTAGCATCAATGTGATGTTACTTTCACCTTTAAAATACAACTGTAGCAGCAGCAGCATTTATTATTACGTGTAAGAACAAAAGTATTGGAGTGATCTGGAAATTCTTGTTTAAAACTTAGTACAATAAGTGTATCTCTCTCTCTCTCTAAGTGCCATATCGATTGACTTTGGCGATCATGCTGTTCCACAACCCTCGGCTCCTAGCCTTTTCTATTAGCACCACTCCCAGTTCTTTCATTCCTCTCTCGTCCAAAAATCTGCAGACTGTCTATCCAAAATATTTACTTTCCGCAAAAGTTTGACAAATGCTCATGTACTTGTAGTTCATGAGTTGATTTCCTTAGCGTGAGCCGACACCCTTCCCACAGACACACTGTTGAATGTCTTCCTTGCCATTGCCGTGGACAATCTGGCCAACGCCCAGGAGCTGACCAAGCTAGACCAGGAGGAAGATGAGGAGAACAGGCAGGCCGCTGCTAATGAGCTCCTGGAGCTTCAGGCCCAGCAGACACCTAACATGAGCAGGAGAGGATCTCCCAACCCGGATAACCCATCAATGTAAGTACCGGTGTTACACGCATATTGTTGAGAAGGTTTGAGGTTCAAACCCCTGCTGCACAGCACTAATGGGATATCTTTGTCTCAGATTCTAAACAAAATCCTGGATTTAGCTCATGTTGCGATCATAATTATAAACCTTAAGGTCAGTTAGGAATCCCATAACGTTTACAAGCTGATCGCCCATCTGATCTGATTATCAAGATATTTATGATTAGAATTCGAAATTTCAAAAAATGTTTTCACAACAGTTTTCATAACACTACAGTCTTTTGGGGAAAATGAGTATGGTAAAACTGGTCACTCAAAGATTTTCACTTTTTTGAGGCACTTCATGATAATTTTGAAGCTCAATCTTTTTAGGGCTTCAATATTGCACCATATCACAGACACTGATAACACGTAGGGCCATGCATCTCAGATTTGGCATTGTTTTAAACGATGCCTTTAACAATTGCCATTTTTTACCCAGGAGAAAAAATGGGGATGTGGTGAGATGCCAAAAGCAATTATGATTGAATTTACCACATGTCGTTGCTTTAATAATGTCGTAGGCATACCTCACAAGGTGTGGAGATGGTGCAAACATTGTACATGTATGCTGGAATGAATCTGATGAAGGGGTGATCAAGATCGAGCTTAGCTAACGTGCGTTTGTTTGATTAAAATCATGTTTAAAAAATTCAAGATTGTTATTTAAAAAAAAAATCATGATTATCAAGTCATTCAGGATAACTTTGATTCAATTTTACTTGTTTGTAGTCAAACTATCGATGTTTAGAAGTTTCATTTCAATTTTTTGTTATTTAGTGAGGATGGCACTAACATACAGCTGAATGACATGAAAGACCCACAGAGGATGAACGGAGATCACAACGGAGAGATGGTAGAGGAAGGTAGGTGCTATCAGTACAGAGTCTATTACAGAAGGGGCTGTGCACAACCCTCGGGTAATCATAACATGAACGGACGTGGCAGTGGTAACAAGGAGGAACTCAGGGCAAGAAAATTTATGACAATAATAATTATAATATTAATAATAATAATAACAATTACATTTATAGGGCACTTTATACAGGCGTTTCTAAGCGCACAGGTGGTACTGTCTAAATTAGTATAATTATTCAACATGTAAATAATCACCTTTCATTGGAGAATACAATCCTTTATAATCATTCCTCATTTTGTGGTGGGCTCAAATTTATATTCCAGTCTGTTATCAATTTCAACATTATTCTCATAGAACAATTTATTCAAAACAAGATGACAGAATAAATATTTGAGATGTATTTCAAATTTTGTACAAAACAGAATTTTCTAGATTCTATACCTGTAGAATGATATATTTTGTCAATGTTTCCAAAGAGAGTAATAGTCGGATACAAGCTTGTCCTTGAAGGGGTCGGGTCAAGAATCCACTCATAGTATTACTATGACCTCTTTCTCTCTCTCTCTCTTCTCTGTCTCTCTCTGTCTATCTCGCTCTCTCTCTCTCTCTCTCTCATTCGCTCGATCTCGATCTTTCTGTTTCACTCGATCTCTCTGTCTATCTCTCGCTCGATCTTTCTCTTTCTCTCGCTCTCTCTCAATCTCTCCCTTTCTATCCCTCTCTCTCTCTCTCTCTTTCTCTCTTTATCTCTCTCTTTCTCTCTCTTTCTCTCTCTCTCTATCTCTCTCTATCTCCCTCTCTCTCTATATATATCTCTATATCTCTCTCTCTTCCCCTCTCTCTCTCTTCCTCTCTCTCTCTATCTCTCTCTCTTTTAAATTAGTTATCTAATACATGGAATAAAGAAAGCTAGGCCTCTAATTTCCATATAGCATATCATGCACAGCCCTCATTAGGATGTAGAACAGCATGACTTTGAAGTGGAATCATGCATATAGTACCTTCATTTAGATAACCATGCAGGTGGCCTGGGGCTTCAAAACAATCACCAGCCTTCTACGTAGAGATCACATAACACTTTACATGTCTGGTGTGTATTGGCTGTATACTAACTCATAAAAGCTCTTGACTATCGCAGACAGTACTTCAAGACTACTTCCTCATTAATAATTTTTTGAAATCTAAGATGAGTTCCTGATATACAAAGGTCTGATATTTCTAAAAACTTTGAATTTACATGTAGCAAACACTTTCTGTCCCTGAATTTCATTATCATTTTCATTGGTCCTGTTGATACTATGCTCATGCACTCATTTGTTTTAGGTGAAGTAGAATTTCATTTGAACGTATAATTCTTTGGATGAAATGTTATTTGCACTGTTATACTAGAGAACTGTTCCCAATTTGACTGGTGTAAGAACATTGATGATTTAAAAAAACAAAACATTAAATGCCACATGTAGTAACAGGAATTTCTGATTTGTAAAGCATTGATATGCCTTTAAAAAACAAGTTGGATATGAAATAGGTGATAACATGTAATGGAATCTATGAGACATGTGTTGAACGAAAATGAGATCAGAACCAATGCGTTACCATGGTATTTTGATGCTGGTAGTGAGGGAAAGCATTGAATTGATCCGTAAATTCATGTATTCTTTTCTGCACTAAGACGTATCTTGCACTAGAACTATCCTGCTTCATTTACATGTAGACATTAGAGGGACATGCAGCAATTCTCGCTACCGCCTATAGCAATAAAACATTCCCAAAGTGCATTGCGCCTGTGATACCACAGCAAAATTGTCGACACACTAACTTCCGGTGAATCTAAAACATGTATTCTGCTATACTACGATAATTGTGCCAATAATTCATTATCTGCTCTTCTTAATCTTGCTTGATAGTTACAAATTTTTAAAAAATACATGAGCAGTTAGCAAACTACATTTTCTCATTCTGTGTGACCCGTTTTGCCCAGAATTACTTCATGTGACTACAAAATCCCGGCAAGTTCACTAGTAAAAATAGAGTGCCACTTACGTTGGCTTGTTTTTTCAGCTATATGCGGTAGAGAGAATTTCATTGTGTTTGGGTTTGAAATGCACCCTCTGAAATATTATGGTGTAAAGCCTCATTCTAACATGGTGAAGTGTGGGCTGGCAACCACTAATTTTAGATGTAAAAATCATGAAATGTCATGTGTCATCATAACATCTGTTTATAGCCAGAAGGGTGTTAACTCTATGTTGAAGTATATATGAGTTAATGACCTTCTGGCTCTGAAGAGACAATCATTCATTGTACCATGTGTATGTACTCTCTGTCCATGTTTATGTCACACTAAGGTAGCTTTGGTCGGTAATGGAGTGCAAGAGTGATGACAAAAAGGTTGCCAGGGGGGTGTTTCACAAGATCCTAAGTCTAACTTAACTCTAAATTGGACTTAAACATTATGGAGAGCCATTTGTAGCCTTAAAATGAAATATATTTAAAAGCAAAAATTCAAGTATTTTAGACTTTTCATAAATTCCACATCAAGAACATTCAATCTCCTTGATTATAGAAAATATGAATGATTTGAATCAACATTTAACGCTTTTAAAAATTATTTTTACAAAATATTTTCAAAGATGCTAACGGCTTCCCATAATTGTTAAGTCCAACTAAGGGATAAGTTCGACTTAGGATCTTTGTGAAACACCCCCTAGGTGTAAACATTCTTCTTGTCAAGTTTGTTGCTACCTCCTAGCCTTAACTTTTTTGCTATGTCATTCAATAACATCTGAGATTGGGAATGCTAGCTGCTTCATTCCAAATATAGTACAAAGAGTGTGTTTGAGTATTAAGAATTGACATAAATGCATCGCAAACTTATCTCATGTATTTCATGTTGGATGTCATGGGATTGATGGTTCATTATGGGATAGCGGAAAAGCACAAGCACATTTCATCCGCTGAGACCCAGGAAGGCATAAGTTCATGTTCTTTTACACAAAGCTGTAATGCCCTTCTGGCTGTGTCCATTCATATATGTACATCGGGTCTTGTGGGTTGCTTATTTGGCACTTGTGTAATATCTATCTAGGTATGTACATATCAATTGGTTTGTGCAGGCCTATGTTCCTATTCAGTTCTTACAGTATATTTACATGTCTGCTATTTGTTGTTATATGCTGAACAGTTATCAGTGCAATTTTGTTATCATATGAATTGGTTAATGCAAATTTTCAGTTGATGATAATATTTATGACTTCTCCCTTTCCCCCAAAAATAAGTTGTATATAATCAGCATAATTTCAAGTTTACATCTTGCGAGTGATTAAATTGAATTTCTACATTTTGTGTGAGAAATTGGAATGCTTTTCTGTATGGCTTAGGACATTATATATTTGTAACAGAAAATGTTCGCAAATGTATGCAATAAATACCTGATTAGTTACAAACATGTATAATAATGTTCCCTCGATTTAAGAAAATATCAAAGTATATACATGTATGTGGAAGAGCTTGAGCTTGTGTTATTTTGTAGATGTGTGTTTGTTTTGTTTTGTATTGTGTTGTTTTGTCCATTACATTGCATACCATTCATTCTGCATGTGCATGTGTGAGAAGGCTACCCTGTTTCACTATGACATGGCGGTAGCTGTCATGTGGTAAGTTTCCGCTTGCGTGTGAGCTCATTAACCACTCGGCATGCTGTAGTAACCTAGCTGTATACCATCTTGCATCAACATCTCCGCTGCTTGTTGTATTGGCCTTATGAGATCTGTCAACGCTTCATGCTCAATAGAACCGCAGCCCCCACCCTCGCCCCACCCCACCCCCTCATCATCACATCACTCATCACACACCACATACAGGTAAACTCATACATCCCATCGTGCCATGCTGCTAATGTGTACATAGAACGCATGCTGAGGTGGAGGGCAGAGTCAGACTAACAAACTAACAGCTACCCCCTTCTTGCTTTCATGGAATAAAAAAAAAAAATATCTTTCCAGATGTGATATCAATTGTAAAAAACAAACAACATCCCTGTATGTCCTCAAATCCTTCCTGTAACGATGGCCCTATTTTTCTGTTTTTTCATGACTGTCTATTCTCATCGTATCATCTAGGCTTAAATCCTTTTTTATTTAATAATAATATAATGATAATAATAATGTTATCATTTACTATGTAGCGCTCTCACACAGTTGTTTAAAGGTGGGAAAATTGGTTAAGTAAATACATTGTTTAACATGTATATTATTTTTAAAAAGCATATAATACAGACATACAATATTATGTGTTTACAAAGCAAATTACTTTTGGGTCTATTGTTAAAACAGAGCATTAATATTTTTGAGCGGGTTATTGAATCAAAAGCTCATTATTCTGTTAATCATTGAAACTACTTTGAAAGAAGAGATTCTTGATAATCCATGGTTCTATTATGCGGCCAGAAACAAAACCTGGGAATTCTGTTGAAATATTATTTCCAACTTTGAAAACAAAAACAGAATTTTAATTTTGATCATTCATAACAGTAATTAAATGACTTGAATGTGTTGTTGAGGTATTATATCCCAAATCCAAGATTTAAATCAGATTTCATCCTTTCTGACTTTTATTATATGTCATGGGATAAATCTTCCAAGTGGTAGGATTACTTCTAGCTCAGACCTTTTACTATTTACATCCAAATTTTTGAATTTTGAGGAAAATTTAGATCTTCTTTCATCTTGAAAGACCACTACTTATTGCTGAATGGGCTACCCTGACAAAAGATTAGAAATAAATAAATAAATAAATCTTCTTTGATATTTCCTCTTTTCTATTTGCCATCTTCCTTTAAGAATCTCCCATTATCCCCCTAATTTTTTTCCCTCATTCTATTCCCCTGCCTCTCCCCCTGACTTTTCACCTAACCCTTGAACCCATTCTCTCATTCCTATATCTTTATTCAAAGTATAAATTCCTGAATAACTCTCTTCAAAAAAAAAATTCCCCGGCTTCCTGTTCCCTTTGTGGGCCCCCGGTACCTGTTTCTCAGTCTCTTTGTCTGACCAAAGGGCCCCCGGTCCTTGTTTCTCAGTCTCTTTGTCTAACCAAAGACCTTGCTCCCTCATGCCTCTTAGACGATCCCAGTGGCGACTCCAAGAGCTGGTATCGGAGGCTTTACCATCAGCTGAATGTTCACGGCGTACCTTGGCTGTGCCCATCCTGCGATAATTGTCACTGTCCTTGTGTTTGTGAGTGTAGCTGTTCCTGCCAAATGAGAAAGAAAGCCAACAACAACAAAGAACAAGGTCCTTACTCATCTTCTTCACTGTGGTATTTTACTTTAATATAAGAAAAGGATTTGCGTGATTGTTTTCCTCATATGTGTGTTGAATGTTTTATTCAATTGTTTTTGTTTGTTCAGATCATGCATCCAGTTGTTTGCTGTTGTATTTAGACAGTTCTATGATGCTTGTTTCATGTGTTCAGAATGTTTGCTTGGTTTTGTGACTAAAATGAAAACAGACAATTTGAACAGTTGTAAGACTTTTAGTTCATGTAGCAGTATGTCTTTGTAAAATACTATTTTTATTTTTTGAACTAATATTGAAAATTATGATGAATACAACCATTAGAGTCTTTTCTTGAGCTGAAACTTTGTCTAATGGAGCTTTCAGAAATGGGTGAAAAACATCATTCTAAGACAGCATAGTCTGTCAACAAATAACACAATCAAACAAGGAAGAGTTACGCAGAGGTACCTTGATCAGCTAGAGTATAACGTAACAGAGAAAAACATGATTGGAGGGAGTTCCTTGGATACAGATGATGTCATTCATTTTCAAAAGAAGAAAGGGATATGTTTATGTGATACTATCTAGCAAGAGCAGTTGAGGTAAGCCTTCCTCCCTGGCAGAGTTTAGGGGGTGCGGCACTTTGTCGAGTAAGAATTATGGGGCGTGGCACCCTTCAAGACTAGGGAAAAGAGTTGCAGAAGCTCTTCATGGCAGAGCAGCCTGTCATTCCATCAAGCAAGAAAGGGTCAGTGTGGCACCCTTTTTTTAGTACCTTCTTAGGACCTGATAAAGTTTATGGAATTTTTTTTTCAAACATGTGTAGCATCCCATGGTGGTTGTAACACCCTGCTTAGGATAAATAAGAAAGTTGTAGAACCCTTTAATTGCAGAGAACCGAGAAGCAAGTTGCACTTTATCAAATAATACAGGGTAGATGTAGCACAGTAGCACCCCTTTCGACCAAGAAAAATGTGGTACTTGGCCATCAAAGTGAGATAGGGTAGGTGTTGTACCTCTTCACTTCAGAGTAAAATATGATGAGGTTCTTGTTCCCCACCATGGCGGGGATTAGCAGCTACGGCACTCCAGCAAGTAAGAAAGATGAGGTGTAGCACCTTTTTAGGATGAAGAGAAGATTGTGAAACTCCCTTATCACCGGTAAACTTAAGAGGCTCATCGTCAGGAAGGTTGGGCCGTTGCATGTGGCACCCGTTTGGGACAGACATAAAAGTTGCAGAGTAACATGTACTTGTGCAGTCTCCCACACATGTTATTAGATAGTTTGGGTGTGGCCCTCTTCCCAGGCACTGCATGACTGAGGTTAATACATCAGACAAAGAGAGGCTCCTCTTTGCTCCATGGAAAAGTGGGCGTGACATAGGAGGAAGGATATTGTTTAGTGTATCAAGACTTGGTAGAGTGTATGCTGAAAATTCCATGTAACATGCCCAAACCTCTTGACATGGTCTAATGCCAAGAAACATTAGAAGGGTTGAAGTCAACAGAAACTCAAGTCAGCAAAGTGTTATTTCATATATCCAAATAAAGTGTCAACCCAGTTCCAGCCACACACAAAAAAAAGAGTTTAGACTTTTTAATTTTTAAAGAAATCTATGTGTACCTCATCTGAAGAATTAGTGTGATTACAGATAAACTTGCACTCATAAGAGTGAAACATTTGATTGGCCGGAATGTCAAAATCAGACACTGTAACGAGAACTGAGAGGAATAAAGTGTATGATAACAAGCTCTGATTGGTTAGCACATATATATATATATATACACCAATATGGAAGCCTTAGTTACCAATCAGTTTAACTCTTTTTTGCCATTTATATTGTTTGATTTGAGCTTCAGAAGAATTGCTTCTGGTTGTCTTACGTCAATCTCTTCTTTGATTCCGTAGCTCACAAGTAATTCATCTGTTCAAATCTATTGTACATGTTTCTGTTAGGAAGATCTGGGCCCTTCCTATAAAGAGTTGATATCAATCACAACCATGTACATAAGAGATAGGAGACTGCAAACTTAAGTTGATTGGAGGACTTACGATTGATTTGGATCAATCGTAAGTCTTTATAAGACGGGGCCTAGACATTGTATTTTATGATCTTATGAGTTTAGATGTAGATTGCAATGCATTTAGATGTAGATCAGTCAAAATTTATAATGAACTCTTTATCCGCTTTGGTCGAGCAACGGAAGAGACAGTCGTGGAGTGCCACATTGGACTTTTGCCACATGTTTACGGAGAATGTACAACAATGTATATCGCAACAATGTAGCAGTCTCGAATTTCAATTTATAGCAAATAAAGAGTTCTGTGTAATTGAGAACAATCACCTGTAAAGCATGATATATGTGTGTCCATGCAAGAGATATTGAAGTGACTGCATTATAAATTATGATCCCCATTTTTGCACATTACCATTTAGAGATGGTTTCTCTTTTTGCATCTCTTGTTTTTGGTTTGAATTGAAACAGATGATGCTTGTGTACATGTTTGAGTTCTTTGAGCTAGCTGCATCCGTTTGCAGTGCAATACAGTATTTCTCTTCCAACTAAATGTCAAGAGAGGGCAGTATATACACAAAACCAGGAAAAAAACGTGTTAAAGATGAAGTTGAGTTCTGGTCATGCGACTGCATTGTGAAAGAAACGGTGTGAAATAGACCAGAAAAGGTTGATCATCTAGCATATAAGAATTTGTGTGTATTGCAAGGTTCTGGAATCATCAAAATAATAAGAAATTTGGCCAAGTCTTGGTAAAGTTACAAACACTGTACCCAGAAAGATGTATACGAACACGTGGCGTAAAAATCCTACCCTGGAGTTTTACGATGTTACAGGACATATTTAGAATATTAAGGCATTTGAAGAGCCATGCTTTTCAGGGAACATGTTTTATCTGATGTTCTTCCACACTTGCATAATAAGAATGATAACGCTCACAAATTATTTTTCACCTCTTCCCAGAACTCAACCTTCTCTTTAAATCTAGTAGCTTAATTTGGGTAAACAGAATCACTGCCAAATGAATCAGATATTTTGGAGCTAAACATGTGATGGCCAGTTGCACTCTTAGGGCTGTTATTAGTGTGATTTATATCCCGTTCAGACTAAAGGGAAAGAAACGTCATATAAAGAATCATTGTATAGTGAAAGGGGGTGTTCAGACTAGAAAAGGACATCACAAAAACTAATTTTGAAAAGGTAAATTGACCTGACAGCTGGCCAAAAATCAGATTACGATGAGCCCTGCCCAGTTATTTGGTTTTCTTACAAAACGACGTTTAGACTAAGAGTGGGAACCTGATTCCGCTTTATCAAGTTTAACATGCGTTTTTTATATGACATTCATTTGTTCGTCCTCACCATTCTCATATACGCAATGTAACTATAATTCTGGTAGGCTGAACGTGTGTTTAAACCACTGAAACTTGTAAATTTTAAGTTGCCACATCGAGTTTTGATAATTGCTCCTTGGATAGACATCAGTTATTTTGTCATTTATTTTACATAATGCATTCTCTTGTTTCAACGCCAGTGTTGGCTCAGTTGTAAGTGGGAATTCAGTCAAAATTGTATGTAACCCTGGTATTTTTGCTTTCGTGTTCACACAGAAGCGGAAGACGAGAACGATGAATCGTTTCATCCCAAGCCGATGGTTCCTTATAGCGCCCTCTTTATATTTAGCACCACCAACCCGTAAGTACATCATACACAGACTTGGAGGAGACAAACTCATGTCATTGATGATACAGTCAAATTGTTCTTATACCATAGTTGGTTTGTTTGAATGATAAATGAAACAGAATATTGAGATGCATTCATGTGTAATCCTTGTTCAGAGATGATGCAGCAAAACCATTCATCTTTTTGTTGTTGGTATGATAGTGTAAAGTGTAATACACATCATATTTCTATATCTTATAACACAGAGTTGAGTAAATGTACACAGGACCTGTGTTACGTGCAGTTGACATTTATTTAGATGTATCTATAAAAAGAACAAGCCTTTTTTTTTTATAAACTACTGTTGTTGTCTTTTCATAGAGCAGATTCCTATTCTTCAAGCATTTTCCAACATTAAAGGGTTCATTTTATAAAGACAAAAAGAAATTAGATATATTCCATTTAGAGCACATTATACTCCACAAACTCACTCTATTAAAGTAGAAGTGTCCATTGGATGTTCCGCTGCAGTCAACTCTAAGGTACCATAGCTAGACGTCTCAAATTTCTTAAACTCAAATTAATTCTGACCGTAATTCATTTACATGTATTTTAATGTTTGTTTTATTCTCACTTTCATTTCTCTCCTTCACAGTGTACGCCGTTTCTGTCACTACATAGTCACACTACGCTACTTCGACACGATGATTATGGTTGTGATTGCCCTTAGTAGTATTGCCTTAGCTGCAGAAGACCCCATAGATCCCGACAACAAAAGAAACAAAGTATGTTCATCTTCTGTTCTACTCCTCTCTTGAATAATTTTTAGCAAGTTTTGTAAAACATATTTCCTTATGCACATACATGTTACTGAACTGAACTTAATAAAAGTCAAGTTGCGATTGATCGCAACTCAGATCAAAACGCAACTTGCAATCAAACATAACTGCGCATTGCATTAAGAGAGTTGCGTTTGAAATCAAAGACAACTCTTCATGCAAAGTTGCGTTTGATTTGTAGGACTTGCGCTTGATTCTTCATGCAAAAGGGCCCAGGCCAGCTCAAGACTTTCAGGGGTGGAGTAAAATTGCGTTTGAACTAGGTTTAGACCAGTTTTTTCTTTCAGAGGCTGGTGTTCCTTTGACAGCAGGTGCCTATGAAAAAATTAAATATTGCAAAAAGGGCACTGCCAGTGTTTGATCCCATTTGTCCAGTGTTCCCATCTGTGCTACCGTTTTGTATAGAACTATCAATACCCATTGCCTACGCGGACTGGCTGATCCCTGTAATCCCTGTAGATTATTACATACACTCGCATTTCTAAGCGGTTCTCAATCCTAATTCAGCTTTGCCACGTAGTGATTCATTGTACACTTTACCTAAGGAATAAGTGGTGGTGGTGGTCATTTTACCTGACCGCTAAGAAAGCATAAACCGACGGCTTGAGGTCCACTCCGAGGGACCTGGTAATGAGGATTAATGCCTTACTAGCGCATCAACTTGGTTTCGAACCCGGGTTGCCGGATTACGAGACCACTGCTCTACCAACTGAGCTATTGCGCCTCTATCTAATGAAGAATAAGATTTTGTTTGAATAAATCTGCAAAATTTCTTTTATATCTATCCCTCTCCTTTCAGGTTCTAGAATACTTTGACTACATCTTCACAGGAATCTTCACCATTGAGATGGTACTGAAGATCATGGACATGGGTCTCCTCCTTCACAAGGGCGCCTACATGCGAGACCTCTGGAACATCCTGGATGCTATAGTGGTTGTTTGTGCCTTATTTGCTTACGCCTACCGGGGGTGAGTTGACCGTTCTTTGACTTTGGGCCGGTGCCGATACCACAATGTGTTGTACCGGACATTGATCATTCTCTACCTTACCGATAATACCATATACAGTCAAACCTGCTTTAGTGACCACCTGTCTACAAAGACCACATTTGTTGTTTACCTTGGAAATAGTTTCTCATTGAAACATGTACTAAAGGAACCTGTCTATAAAGTCCACCTGTCTACAAAGGCCACTTTTTGTGTTTCCCTTCCGGTGGTCGCTATAGACAAGTTTGACTGTATCATGCGATTCTCTTTTGAGATGAAATAATGAAAAACAGACCCAAATACTGGACCTGCCATTCCCCAGTATGGCTCAGATCAGGGCTATTTTCTTCAGTAACTGTTTTGTCAGTAAGAGGGTAAGGATTGTATGAATGTCCGTACCATACACTGTGCAATGGCCAATGGTTGGATACTATCCTGCAAATAGTTGCTTATTCTTGTCTAAAGGTTTTGTTTGAATCTGCAAAGTTGTTGTATTCATTTATACAGAGCATGAAATACAGTGAAGAGCTGCACAAATTGCCTCAAAATACATTCCTCAAATTTGGGTTCTATTTATACATGTACATGTATGTCATATATATTGGTCTGGACATACTGTGTTGGGTCATAACATACTTCAAGCCCAACTGTTTTTTATGTAGAAAGTCACCAAGTGGACAGATCGATACTTCACATTGAGCACTGTTTGTAGCTCTGTATGTTAAGGGATCTCAAAGAATTTGATCTTAACAATTGAAAACTGTGGAACAAAATTCAAACCTGCAAAGTATCACCCTTAAGAAGAAAAAAAGGCCTTTATGCAACTTTCTTCAGATTCTCCAGTTCTCAGATGATGACAAGAAATTTGAAATTGAATTTTATAAAAGATCAAAAACATCCCACCAGTTTTAAAGTTTGAATTGAGAAAGATCCAATCATGTTATTTGCCTTAAAGTTTTGATTCAAACGAGTGAACAATGCGAAGACACAAACAAAAATTGTGCATGCTCTATTTAATAAATCTCAGTAATTATTCCTTCTTCCAATTCTCAAGATTATTAAGTTTTATAAGTCTGAACACTGTTTGCCCTGTGTGATTTTTAAGAGTGCATGAAGATTTAATAGTCATGTGTGAATGGAATATTTGATTATGACCTTTGAGCTATTGGTAGGAGTTTGAGATGGGTAGCATGGCCATGTGATCTTCTCTTCTCATGCATTGGGTAACATGCATGTATAGGGTGTGGCAAAAAAAAAACTTGCTTTCATGATTAACCTCATTTCACTGCATGTATTCTTTCCAGAGTCAACAAAGAGGAGCTTGAATATCTATCATTTCAAAGGCAATTGGCAAAGCAAACAAAGAAATTCTTTTTCTTTCATTTTTTTGCATGTACTAAATGTTCTCCTAATGGCAGATACTGCAGGCTGACTAATTAATATAAACATGTCAAAATGCAATCTCTACCTTGTGGAGAATTACGCCATTTTTGTAAAAGACACATCTTTCAATTTTACATATTGACAAGAAAATGTATTGCTTGGGTATATGCCTCTTTACTGATTTTTCACCGTGTTTCTATTTTTTATTTCCTTTTTCTCTGTGTGATATCAAACGCCCTTGCATTAGGGATGAGACAGATGGTGCCAGGTAACTTGTGTGCCAAAAAAATATTTTAAAAAAATAAAATAAAAAGTAGAGTATTTCTCCTAACACCTCTTTCCTCCTGTTTGGGGTGCAATTGCTTTTTTGTGTATCTTTTTGAATTCCAAACTTGTGAGTAGGGACTAAAGGGGAAGCAGCCCCTTGTGTTTATCACCCACTCCCCCCTCTCCTTTGTGTTTGTGCAAGTATTTAAATGCATTATTCAAATCCATTATAATATTAATGATAGATGAGAAATACCAAGTGTGCCCTCCCCCCAAAAAAAAACAATCAGAAGATCCAAATAAATTCTTTCATGTTTTGCGAGGTCAGCCAAATTATGCATACTGCTGAGACAAAAATGGAGTTTTATGTTTACAGAACATTTAAACTTACATGAGTGCTTATATCACAACTGTGGCAGAGCTTAGTTGTCTTTCATCTTTCATTTTATTGGACCGTTTTGTGAAATATATAGAATGAAGTCCCAAAAGTTAAAGCCAAACTAAGTGTAGACTAATCAGAGCATGGGGAAATCTTTTCTTGTATTTTTTATTTATAAAAAACTTTCTTGCTAAGGATTTCATAATCAATTAGTGTAGTGACTTTGTAGGATTTAGAACCTTCCCCCTCCCCCATTATACTTACTCTTTCCCCTTCCCCTCCCTTATGTGTATCTTTGAGAACTATTCTGAGAAACCCTATGCATTTATTCATGCTCTTGACAATGTGGACGCACCATAACACACTGTGACGACAAAGATGTGTATACACATTGCAGTATGACTGAAGAGAAGACTTCACAATGTTTGAAATGCGAACACACTGTTCCCACAGTTTGCATAATGTGCCCACAGAGAAGATTCACATTGTGTATCTACCACAGTGTGAACACAGATGATTTGAAATACGTTCACAGTGTGAACACAGTGTCTTTACTGTAGCCATTGAGAAAAATTACTTTGGCCAATCGGTTTTCAGTCCTTGGTCACAGAAAATCACAGTGTGAATACTTTACATTACATACTTACACAATACTTAAAATACTGTGGCTACAAATCACCACAGTGTGATTGTTGTACATTGTAACGGAAGGAAACATCTGGAATATTTTGACTGTGATAAACTGTGACACACTGTGACAAAGAACCACAATGTAAGACCAGAGAAAGGACTTAATGTATTTACAGAGTGTTTCGAGGAAAGTGTGAACACGCTCTACCACACTGTTTTTACAGTGCCATAGAGAGACCATAGTGTACCTGTACCATAGTATGAGCACACATGATTTGAGGTATTTTGAACATTGACCGTGTAAAAAACCCTTTGAGTTTGACCATACTGTTCTCACACTTTTCCCCACATTTCATGACGGTGTGTGTATGTACCACAGTTTAAAGACAAAGGAGTGGGGGAGGGGGGGGGGACCTTCTTAGCATTGCCCGTATAAACTGGCCCATACATTATGAAGTCTTGAGTAATGTGTGTAACGAGTAAGGCGAGGCGTCAAAAATAAATATACCAGCCACAGCAGCTAACTGCACTTGTGCGTCCTGGCTGCATTTTTGTCTCGCCTGCGTAGCAAAAAGCGAGACATAGGCGCCGCTTTTCCGGTGACGGCGGCGGCGGCGGCGACGGCGACGGCGACGGCGACGGCGACGGCGACGGCGACGGCGACGGCGACGGCGTCAACATCAAAAACTTAACCTAAGGTTAAGTTTTTGAATTTTTGGTATAATTTTTAAAGTATAAGTTCTTAGTCAATGAAACTTTGACTATAGGGTAATCAAGTATCCCCAATCATGTGAGTAGAATTTCAGATCACAAAGTCAAGGTCAAAGGTCATTTCAGGTCAACAGACTTGGACTATGTTGTAGCATCATCATCGAAAACTTAACCTAAGGTTAAGTTTTTGAATTTTTGATATAATTTTGAAAGTATAAGTTCTTAGTCAATGAAACTTGGACTATAGGGTTATCGAGTCTCCCCAATTCTGTGAGTAGAATTTCAGGTCACTAAGTTAAGGTCAAAGGCCATTTAAGGTCAACAAACTTAGACTTTGTTGTGGCATCAACATTAAGATTTTCAAAATGCTTCTTCTTCGTTATTTTTCAACCGATTTTGATTCTGATTGTTTCATATGATAGGGCTAGGAGGGGATTTAAAATTTATACACAGAATCGTGAAATTCATTATCTATGCTAATTTATGCAAATTTATTCGAAATCACAAAAAAGGCTTCTTCTCCTTCATTTCTCGACCGATTTTGATTTGGTTTGCTTTATATCGTAGAGCTAACTTTGGTACACTAAACTTCTACACAGAATTTTGAAATTGTTCTCCATTAATTAATTATGGTAATTTATGCAAATTTATTCCAAAAATAACAAAAATTGCTTCTTTTCCCTCATTTCTTGACCGATTTTGCCTTATCTGGTAGAGCTAAATTTGCAACAATAAACTTCTACACAGAATTGTGAGATTTTGCTCCATTGATTATTTATGGTACTTTATGCAAATGAAATGAAATTATGTCCCTTCCAGGGCATCAAATTTCTATTTTTTGACCAGTTCAAAAGTGTACCACATAAAATTTACGATATTTGTTGTTGTGAGATGCGGATGAGCGCTACGTCATTGACGTTCTGGTTTATTATATTGAATTGCGTTATGCAGGCGAGACCGCCGAGAGCGTTTCCCTTGTTTAAATTAGCTCAGCCGGCTACCGCTGGCGGTAGGAAATGGCATTCAAAAGCATGCGCCGGCTGCCGCCTTTCGAATGGAAACCGAGCCTCAGATCCCAGCCTGGCGCAAGCCGGCTGGGCTATTAAGTGAAAAATAATTGCCCCAGCCAGGCTTCGGCCGTAATTGCAGCCTCGATGCGCCAATACGTGAGGCGGCAGCCTGCTGGTATCGATATTTTTGACGCCTCGCCTTAAAGAGTGAGACAGAGAATGTGCATATAGAGTGTGACTGTACAGATAAGGTTATTTGAAAGCCACAAGGGAAGCATTGTATACTGACATCTACAGACTTACCATTGCCCTTTGAACCTCAACTAATAGACCAATTGATGAGGTATTACTCCCTCCAACTACACAAGTTTGTATTTCTGTGAGTTAACTTTATGCAGACTTTACATCTAGCGCCCCCTCAACCTCTGCTAATAATTGTCAAACATAATTCACGTATTAGTTCTACAAGTTTGTTTTCCTGTGTGTTAACCCATTACAGACTTTATATTATAACTAGTGCCTGTTTGAGTCTCAGCTGATACTCATTTAGAGACACACATCGCCTGATGACTCTGTCTCTGTCTCAAAGTTTGTTTTCCAATGTCTTGCTCTGTCCTTCACCCCTGCATGCACATAACTCTTTATGTTTGCTCGGCTCAGAGACTTGTATTCTTTATATTGTTTCCCGTTTTCATATCCCTGTTTGCATTAAGACTTCTACCCACATCAATGACAATGTTGGAAAGGTAAAATGGTTCATTTTGCATCATCGCTGAATCACAAAATTGGTGCATAAAGGAGCTAACTAACTAAACCCATCTAATATATTGCCTCTCGTGACCTGCTGGCTTCCGTATTAAGCCTATGTGAATAAGAGAATTCAGAAGTCATCATCACTAATCTCTAATCAGCAAACGTGATCCTGTAAATTGGGTTCAGTACTAAAATCTCATTTACATTTACAGCTTCACAGGGTTTGAGGGAAGCAAAATTACTAATTCAGCATTCTTTTTCATTATTGCACTTTTCTTATATCTTCTTTCTTGAAATTTTGATCAGAATATTAAAGCCTCATAATGTGCACTATTAATATAAACTTTATAGGTTAAGTTTGAAATATGTAGGAGTTTTTTAAAGGATCATTCGCAAGTGTAAAGAATATAGCTAACTTAATAACAATACCGTATCCTAGTTGAAAGAAAATGTGTGAAAATATTTACCCAACTATTTGATAATTAATTAATGTAACTTGCATTTTAAAAAAAGCACATTCAAAAAGCCTGAATACATTTCAAAGTTGACGATTGATTTAATGTCACCAATATTTAGTTGATACAAGTGGATAAGTGTTTGCAACAGTTAGTTTAAACATTGATGGTTGTTCTACATACATGTAGGAGCTCTCGAGCTCAATAGTGATTTGCAGAAAGTCACTAACAATATAAATAATAATAATAATAAAAACATTTTATATACCGCTTGTGACATAAAAGTTTCAAAGCGCTGTACACAAATCAAGATTACTTCCAAAAAAATCAATATTACTAATGGAATTAACATTATCGGTACTTAAATTACCAAGAAAATTTTCATCAATAGTACTACGGTATAAGGAATATGAAGGTCATAATAATAATAATAATACTCAGTTTTTATATAGCGCTTATTAGAATCACTAAGTGCATCCAAACACACTTGGCTTGAGTATTATATAAACCTATGAAAAGTTTTATCATATGAATGTTCATCTAGCAAAGTGGTGATGTTTTTTCAATAAAATTTTGAAAGGATTGAAAATGTATACAATGATTTGTACTGAGATGTTGAGATGGAAAATGACATGTGGTCAGTCAAGGTTGTCGTTAGAAAGTGATGTTGATGATAATGAAACATTGTTAGACAAATCAAAACAGATATTATTGTTGAAACAGACTCTGCATTTATACCTCACTACATATGCCATTAAAAAATATGCTGTAATTCAAGCAAGTTATCATAATTATTTGCTTTTGATCAATGAATCAACAGATACATGAATGTATATAGTGTAGAGACTATCCTGTAGTATTAATGATCAAATGTTTTACAATCAATTTCTTTTTAAAGCTTACATTTTGTTATACATGTATTACACTCTCCCATTATTGCTGTAATGAATTTTATTTTCATATTGGTATTATCATTTCACCGTAATACTGAGATTGATGTGAATTCTCAGTGGAAGATTTGATGGTATTAATTCATTTTAGATTAAATATGACGCTTTCTTAGACCCTGAAATAAAGCTTTATTTTTTAAATTCCGTTCATCTGTACCCAAATAATTCTTAGATAGCCATTATAGTGTATATATATTCCATTATACATTAACAAAAATATTAACATAGACATGTATGTACATGTGTATCTTCATAACTAGTAAATACCCCTTTATATTCTCATGTTTATCTTTTGTCTAATATTCTTTTCTACATGTATATACCTTGTATATCTTACTTCTAGAACCCTTGAAATAAACCCTCATTTGTATCACCATCAATAACATTTACTAATTGTTTACTAATTCATAATGTTACAAGTACAGTATCTAAATATGTGCATAGTTATTTTTGGAAAAGGTCACAAATCTTTTGCCCTTTCCATATATCTGATTAATTATTTATCACCATTATGGAGCAATATAGATAGAATAATTTGATTTTGTTTGTTGCTACAGTTACTTGTTTATGACTTATAATTATCTGTAACTTGTCTATAATTTCTAATGCGCAAAAGCAGTACTAGAATATACCAAAATATAGTTGCTGTTACATGGTTAAATTGACTGGCTGTTATTATATCGATGGCTGACTTTTTTTCCCTTTAGATTAATTCCCTTCCCTCCCGCAAGTGTCCAATGCTAAGCAAAATAAATGAAAAACATAAGAATCTGTAAAGAACAGTTTAAACTGTCTCATTACTACTAAACTTAATCCACACCTACCCAAACCAATTATTGTCGAAGATTTCAGTTTCATCTTGTCTTTCTATTTGATAGACTTATAGATTTAAAGTGTGATATCATTAATATATTCTTTTTTAAATTGAGAAAAATTAACAGAAGACATGATAATAAGGAATACAGCTCATGAAATCCTATTAGTGACACCTGTATCTTAGTAGATCTCCAGAAATTAAAATGACGTTTGGATAGTTTACACATCAAAGTTAAATTTCCTTTGGAGGCAGAGCAAATATTGGAGTATGGAGGACTTAATTTGTTTGTCTTTTCTTTGTTGAAACAGTGGTGGAACAAGTGGAGGACCTCAGCAACTGAACACCATCAAGTCACTTAGGGTACTGAGGGTGTTACGACCGCTCAAAACCATCAAGAGAGTTCCAAAACTAAAGGTAGGCTGATGACAGTAGCTGCACATGCTGAACAATTCTTCTTCCATCGGCAGCAGATAACTTCTCAACAAAGTTTCATTTTGTCCTGAAAGTTGTTTTATGCTTTATATAGAAGAAGTTGCCCTAGATCCTCATCTATTGTGCTTCCTGAGATGACAGTAGCTGCATGTACTTTATGAATTATATCTAGACGAAACTAGTGATACTGATAATGATGATGACATCTGTTATAGCACTTCTGTAGTGCATATGTGTGCATATGTAGGTGCTTCAATATTATTGTTGCTTTGGTTGGGTTACCAACTGTGGTGCTGACAGAATTCTTTGGATCCTTTCATACCTGGGGGATGTTTCACGAAGACTAAGATCGACTTTAAGTTGGACTTAACTATGGCAGGCTGTTCATGCCACTGTTTGCTCTCACCATTATGATCTTTAGATAATATTTATCCTTCAATAATGAATTATCAACAAATGTAAACTCTGTAGATTTGTGACCATGATTTGTACGTCCCTTGAGAGACCAATGCCAGTAAATGATGAGAGCAAACAGTGGCATGAGCAGCCTGCCATAGTTAAGTCCAACTTAAAGTTAATCTCAGTCTTTGTGAAACACCCCCAGGTACCCATTTCTCACACCTAAGTGGAGACTGGCAAATGCAGTTAAATGTCCTGTCAACTCTTAAACTGTTACTGCAGTCCAATAATGAAAGGATTGAATGTTTTGATGAAAGAATCTACATTCATAATCAACTAATTCACCAACTGTGTATTGAGTAAACTGTTGTTTTTCAACTGTTTCGATGTGTCTATCCAGGCCGTGTTTGACTGCGTGGTGAACTCGGTGAAGAACGTCACCAACATCGCTATCGTCTACCTCCTCTTCATGTTCATCTTCGCCGTCATCGGCGTCCAACTCTTCAAGGGAAAATTCTTCCACTGCTCCGACCTGTCTAAAGTCACCGAGGAAGAATGCCAGTGAGTTCCGCGCTTATGATCTCCTCATCCTGCCAAATAAAATTTGATACGTTTAATACCACATAATGTGCCTACAGAGAATATGTAGTGTGTGGAAACACTATTCACAGTGACGCTGTGTTCCACACAATGTCACACATAATTTCGGAGAAGTTTTGGGATTTCTTTTATTGTATTCACTATGAAGAAGCATAATATATAACATACAACGCAGTAATTAATACATTTTGGGTATCCTCTGTGGTATTTCTTACTTCCTTTGTCTCTGTACGTTTTGGTTTTTGGTTAACTTCACCTGGAAATTAAATAAATAATAAATAAATGAATAAGTAAATAAAAACATAATTGAATTTACAAATTTACAAATCTTAACACTTCTACTTTCTGATACTTTGTTTACTGTCTTTTATAAGAAAGTGAATCAAAACGATTTTGTTTAAAATATTGAGAAACCTATTACCAATGTATCATTGAATAGCATAGACAAAATATCTTCTCCTTGGTGGGAAGTGATGTATTAATGTATTAATAGACCAGCATATATTCAGTTTAAACCTCAGCAAATATATTTATTTATTATTTATATATTTTTATTTAAACAGGGTTGCCTCTTCCCTGAATAAACTACTGTCCTTGAGGGCCCAGGAATATATATTTTAGCTTTAATATGTAGTATTTAGGCTATTCTATTTTACAGACATGTGAACCATTTCTGTCATTTCTACCTACAGGGGAAGATATTTCTTGTATGAAGGAGACCAAATTAAAGAAAGTGCTGACCGAGTGTGGGACAAGTATGAATTCAACTATGACAATGTCGCCTTAGCCATTCTCACTCTCTTCACTGTGTCAACTGGGGAGGGATGGCCAGAGTAAGTATTTCAGAATTTACAAACGTGTTTTGATTGTAATATGAATGATTGTGAATTTTAAAGTACACATGTCTAGTAAAAGTTATCATGATGATAATGGTGAGTTTGTTTACAGCACACTTGATACACTGCATACCATTATTACCCTGGCTTAAGCATGGCAGCCATTATGGTGCTCGAGCATTGCTAGGAATCGATTCCTGCCAGGTACCCATTTACGTTCCGTGGTTCAAGTGTAGATGTCTGGGCAAAGAACATTTGTACTGTGGTAGGGATTTGAACCCCATACCTTGTGGTCCACATTCTAGGGACGTATCCACTAGCTCACAATACCTCTACAGTTTTACCGGTAGGAAGGAATTCCTTAAATGCTGTGAGCATCAAAATTGGCAGCCTAGCATAGCCGGGTAATGTTGGAGCGCCTTGAGGACCTTGCAAGGTCAATACGTACGCTATATAAGAATCCAATATTATTATTATTATTATTATTATGGCAAAAGAGGTATTACAGTCAGAGATATCTTGTAATAGTATCACTTTGATAACTTCTCATTCATCCCTTTACAGTTTTCTGTAGCATTCTATTACAGCTACAAAGTAACCCCTCGCCATCCATCTTGCCAGCTTTATATTTAACATCTCGTGTTTTTCATTTCTTGACAGTGTTCTGAAGCATTCTATTGAAGCTACAGAGGAAGGAATGGGTCCCACTCCATACAATCGGATTGAGATGTCACTCTACTACGTGGTCTACTTCATTATCTTCCCTTTCTTCTTTCTCAACATCTTCGTTGCCTTGATCATCATCACCTTCCAGGAACAGGGCGATCAGGACTTCTTCGACGGTGAAATCGATAAGAACCAGGTTAGCTTCAGTCATCCCACATTTGCTCTGGCAACATTCTTTCAAAGATATAGGTTTAGGGCTGGGGTTAAAATTTGGTTTTAGTTCAAGGGTTCATTGTTTAGGGTTAGGGTAGGGTAATAGTATATCTGTAAAGCGCTTAGAGACATGGTATTATGTGATATATATAAAAGCGGAATATAATTATTATTATTATCATTATTATTATAGTGTTTGATCTAGGGTTGAAGTTTGAAATTTGATAAGTGTAAGAAATTCTACTCAAGTTCATTGTGTTATCTTGTCATGAAAAGAAATGAAAATCTATAACATGATCAGTAAATCAATTTTTGCAGACATTTCTTATTTTTAAAACCAATTTGTGCTCATGTGAGTGCAATTTGTGCTCATTGGAGTTCAATGAATAAGTTTGTGAAATAAAGCATTTAATCATCATCATTGTGTGGAATTTAGAACACAACTCATTCAATACTAAGCCCAAGGTGCATGTGTAAACTCAGCACATACTCTAATGACCTACGACCTCTGACCTTTCCTTCACAGAAACAATGCATAGAATTTTGCATCACTGCCAAGCCTGTGGACAGGTTCATGCCAGAAAACAAGAATTCATTCCGTTTCAAGGTGTGGAAGTTGGTAGTGTCGTCAGCGTTTGAGTACTTCATCATGACTCTCATCACGCTAAACACCTTTACGTTAATGGTGAAGGTAAGGTATTCAGTCAATTCAATTCAAAAGAACATGGCAAAAGTCTGAGACTTATATTACAAGTAAAATACAATAAAACATGAAATAAGGTCATCAAATAATTGAAAAGGAGAAAGTGACTTCATGCATTAAAAAGATAATGTCATCAATAAATTTATTTATTAAAACGTACTAATCACCTGAAAATAATTTATGTACAGCTAGAATTTACAACATCAATTTCACTCAGAATTTGAGGAGCAAAAGGAAAAGGAATATGAAGAAAATGAAGAATAACATAAAACTGCGCAAATGGAACCCAAGCTGGACTTTGGTTCTGTGCATTTAGACTACTTTATTTTCATTTATAAATCTTTTTTAATTGACAAGAAAGAGAAGGAAAAAGAATAGATTCTAACATTTTTGTTTTAAATCTCCAATTACAAGCCATTAAAAGCAAAACCTTTATCAATATCTGTTTTTGTTTTAATTGTTTAATTAATTTTCTTCATTGCATGTGATATCATCTTGGTATTACTTCTTCATATCTCATGTTTTTCTCCCACTTTCCTTTGCAGTATCATGGCCAGCCGGAGATTTACTCAGCCATTCTCAAAAACCTCAACATTGCATTCACTGTCCTCTTCACGATAGAAGCCATGCTCAAGCTTACGGCATTTGGAATAAGGGTAATGGAGCGTTCTGGATATTTTAATTGCCACTTCACATTTTGCGCACTATAGGCCAGTTCCTTGCATGAACTACGGGACATTTAGACAACATTTTTTGCTTTTAAAGAACAGGAATCAACAGTAAAGATTTGTATTATTGTAATAGTCAAGTGCTTCCAGGGGGCCTTATGAAGATATGACAACGAGGTTTAAATCCCTTTTTCTCCAACATCATATAATTATTCTTAAAAAAGTCTCATTTTTTGTTATTGAGATATCCCATGAAACAGCCAAGCTTTTCATATAGTTACTGCTGAAGTTTTTACTTCTTCAAAATGATGAACATTTTACCAGAGTTGAATTTTTGTTGTTGTCATTTCATTCTTTGAAATGACAGCTGCTGACAGTTTCTTTGCAGTGACCCATTACAAGCTCATAGTCTCAATGAATTTCCTGTCATGTCCCGTTTCCCCACTCAGAATTACTTCAAGGAGGGATGGAACACGTTCGACTTTATCACGGTGGTGGGGAGCGTGGCCGATGTCATCATTTCAGAAGTTGGGGTAAGAAATCATCATTTATAGCCGATGATACAGAATATGCTTGTCATTGTCCTTGTCTCCACACAGTTTTATTTTTGGACGAAAGTTTTTGTACTGGGGTTTTAATTTGTATTTTTCTTCCTTTATAACAAGAAATGTAAACTTTCCAAGTTTAAAACAGGCAGGTACAAAAATGTAATATCAAATACAGTGTTGAAATTGAAAATTAGATTAAGTTTGACATTATTCCAAAATACAGATCTCTGTTTCTATATATCTCTCAGTGAAGTGTTATTTCTCAACCTGTGCAAAAGAGGTACAGGTTTCCTGGATTTTTCTTTAAAAAATTCACGAGTTCATCAGTTTATTTTTACCTTCTATATGTATTTCCACTAATACGTTTAACAAATTCCTCCCTCTTTTTATATTGAATGGTAAAAAAGTATTTCATATTTAAAAATAAGTTTAAAATGAATCTATGTACTTCTTGTTTCAAAAAACCTGAAAGTTTATGGAATCAACCATCCATAAAAATTCACCAAGAATTGATATTCATGGTAAAAATAGACAAGACAATGAGAACACAAGATCAAATGTGCATTCATAATAGAATGTGTGTCTAAATACAAATAAAAATGAATTGTAGATATTAAAAAAGGGAGGAATAAATGAAATTGTTTATTATTCATATTCAATCCCACCGCTGCCATCAGTAATAAAGCCAAAGCTCTATTTGATTGAAATGGGGGAAGATTTTGCAAATAGTACACAAATGATTTATGAAATGGTGGGTACAATAGTTAAGCATTACAAAAAAGACATTCTACAGTGTATATTAGTCTACCTGATTATCAAATAAGCATCCATTGTTCAATTTTACAGTGTAATATTGATTGATGCATACTCATTTGTATGCTAAAAGGTTCAAATGTTGTTTCACCAAACAAGGGATGATAGTTGCAGCATTATTTATGAAGTCGGTGAACACTGTCAATCATGTTGTGAGGTAGTGCAGGAGGTTGTTCCTGCATCTGTCTCCAATGATGAACCTTCTGGTAAATCAGATTAATGCATTGTGATATACATCAAAATGTACACATAAACACTTATAACCATATTTTTGTAAGTCTACCTGTGTACATCATGTAGGAAATATATATTGCATTTCTGATATTAAACCAATAAAAGACAAAACAAATGACTGCTCCCTGTATAGCTGAAATAACCCTTGCTGATATAACAAAATATACCTGCAATTTGAAAGGAAGCTGCAGCTTTCGTCCACCGGCCTAATCATGCAATATTTATTACTCCATTAATACTAACATGCTCCTGTAGCGGATAGTAAATATGCTATTAACCCTTCACCACTGCCCATAATGATAGTGTGTTTGTATGTGATTGCACCTATGATATAGTATAGTCTAATGCCTATAGTATCACCCCTTTGAGGCTGTTGGTTGATCCCTTGACATGACTTCTAGATGCCATCCCGTTGCATTTAGATGAAGGAAATATTTTGACGCCGGGAATCATGGATTGTCTTTTTTTCATCTCAATGATACCAAGCTGACTTCCGCTTAGAATAATCACCGTCCTTCTATAATATACAATGCTTAAAGGGGACTAATGAAGAAGATGAATAACTCATAGACATATGTGATTAGAATACTTAAATCATCCCCAGAAAGTATTTCTAAATAGAAATGGGTAATCATGAGGTAGCGCAAAAGGAAATAATGATTTTTTTCATGTATATTAATTTAAAGTCTGTAAAGAAGTTAACTAGTGTTTTTAAATGTATCATACAATATATTCACAAGTTGCCTTTTCTTGATCAGTGCCTTGTCAGTATTTAAACTTGCAACATCTCTCCAGTGAAGTTATATATTTAAATCTGATATTTATTTTATTATACACGTATGATACCAGCAATAGAACCTCAGCCCATAATTGTTGCCTTTGATGAAAGGGGAAAGAAGAACTCAATACTAAATGAATGCCAAAATGTTAGTACTTCACTTCATTCCTTAGGGTTTTATTAATGCAAAGTTACAGACAGCTATCTTGAGACCCATAAGGTTAATGCTTTGTAGTATTGGATTAGAGAAATCATTCTTCATGAAGTTGGCAGCCATTGCTTGATGACTCTCTTAAATAGAAGTGGATGCAGTAATCTCATGTGTTGGTAATACTTTAGTTATATGGTTGAATTTATATATTCTACATGGCAGCAAAGCATTGTATAGGTTGTGTCCTTGGTGGATTTCAGATGCTATTGTCACATCTTCCTTATGGCACTCCATTGAAGCTGAAATAGACCTGATATTATGAAACCAGCATTTTCCTTTCATACATAATAAGAGATTTTAGGAGATTCATGGCTTTTATTTGTTGTAAGATTTCTAGTCAGGTCCTACCTCTGTGCAGGATACATCGTTTTTATTTTTTAATGAACTGACTGTACGGAACAACTTTTTTGCTGCCTTTAACCTATATCCATTGAAATAGTCAATAGTTATAGAGGGCGTTCCTCACACAGGTATATAGAATATTTGGGCAGTAAAACAGGAATCCCACAAATTAAATAAAAAGGAGACTCTGACATATTAGAATGATGAAATAGGAATACCCTTTCCCAATTATTGAACAGAAATACTGAAGAATATACAAAAATAGACTAGACAACTGTAAACTTAAAGGGATATTTTTTATTTGGGATTTTTTCATTATTACTCTAATACACAACTACTAAAACAAGAGTAGATTGTTGGGAAACTTTGTATTGATGCAAAAAACTAAAAGATAAAAACAACCAATCACAAATAGCTGTGTGCCATGTGATGTAGCACCATTATTGTCATTCATGTCGCGATGTCTGTCTCACAGATAGTGCCCTCGTCCATTGTGTAGTGTCCTGCCTTGATCGTGGGTATTGTGTGTTTGTAAAAATATTCAAACAATAGGGACAAGGTGGAAGATATATAATAAGGTAGGTTACAAAGAAAGATGGGGCATCATTACTTTTTATCTTGGAAGGCACATTTTGTGCTTTAAAATTTGGCGACATTGTTGATATGTAAAGCGCTGATATAAACCTGTGTTTGAAGTTGACATAATTGGGTGTATTGTCATGATATATTTAGTAAATTTTGGTTACTGGTAATGTGTCCTTTAGTGCCCCAAGTACTTTGTGTATATCTTAACCCTTGTAAACCCTGTCCCATCTCAGATTCTTTATCCAAACGATCAACTTTGTGCCCCCCCTTCCCGAATATACCAATGACACGCGGCGTCTACCCCCCTGCCCCCACCTCGCTGACTGCATGTTTATGTCATAAATTATTTTTTGTATTCCTTTTCAACTTTTTTATTTGTAGCCGGAGGTAAGTAACTTGTAGGGCGTACCTGTGTTCCCATGGGATCTACCTGCGAATCCTGATCAACCATCCAGCCTCAGTCCCACACCTCTTGACCTCTGACCCTCTGACCCTTGACCCCTCACCCGTCACTTCCTGTCCCTCTTAGTTTCACTCTTAGGTGGTGGCATACTAACCAATCACTGCTCTACTAACATTTAGTTTCTTAGTCTTTTTTACATAAAGATGACATTGTATATCAACAAAAAATATGTACTCTGAAACTAACATATCACATTTCAGCAGAGAGAGAGAGAGAGGGAGAGAGAGAGAGATAGAGAGCTCGCTCGCTATCAGTCATCAATGCAGCATTTCTAACATTGACCACTGTTTATCGATCCCCTTTATATATTCATATATTTTGCCCCAAATCGATAAACAAAAAAAGTGACATAATATCTTAAATGCTATTTCCTTTCTAATGACATGAATTATGTGTCATAAAAAAAGTCATCTATATACTTCTCTTTCCTCTAGCCTCGATCCTCAAAACCTTGTTAATGATATAGAATGAAACACATGTAAAGCAGATCAGCAATCACTACCATACTACAGTACCTGTAGGAAAAGAAGACTACATTGTATGGAAACAACTGGCATTCAACTCAACAGCGTATAAAGTTTGTTACATTTGCAAAAGGAAAAAAAAAGCTTATCATGATCCAAAAATATCAAACAAAATGTTGTAATTAAGGCAATTAAAACCACTTTCAGTGAGGTTGAATAAAGTAACATGTATACAGTTACTTGGATGTATACATATTTTAAAAATGTTACAATAATCATACAAACTTATTACCTATTTTAGTTGAAGGCAAAGGAAATTATACTTCTACAGAATGTTTCCTTAAATCCACCACTACAATTCATTTGGTGTTCAGTAAATCATCAGTAAATTGATGTATTAAATATAATTATACCTCTAAAGATACACAAACTTATGTGTATGTAGAGTATTAGTAACCCTAAGCTTAGATGCATTAAAGTTACTCCAAATTGTTCCATCAGATACAACACCTGCACATTTTGTACAGAGAAGGCTAATGACAGAGGCAGTTTAAATCTCATTTAAACTGTGGTAACATTTGAGATGTTTACCAAGAAATAAACTTGTAAGTCTCTTTTAACCTGTTGACTACTGAATTCTCTAATTCCCATAGGCTTAATACATGGACCACCAGGTACCAGTAGACAAAGGGTTCACATGATGATCTTCTAGGTTCACATGGTTTCTAACAATGAGAATTTATGAATTTTAAAAGTCGATCCCACCGCTGCCACCGATTATGTCACCCAAATATTAGATAATTTATTTTTGATAGAAACAGAGTTTTGAACTCTCCTAAAGTATCTATAGAATTTACTGACAAAGAATCATTTTAGATATCTGTATTTCTGTGAGTCTCCTTTAAATACACTTTTTAGGAGGATGTATATCTTATCAAATTTATAGTCAAATAAAAAAAGTGATGAAATGTTTGTTAATCAAATGTTTCATGATATTGGTTATGTAGGACAAAAATATGTATTTGGCAAGCACTTCTGCCACCGACTGGCACATTGCAATTGTAATAAACACAACAACAACAAACAATTTAACAAACAAAATGGAGGTGAAGAAAGGAAGAGAAAGAGTTGATCTTATCAATACAGTCACAAGAAAGGAACCAGTTAAAGCAGAACCTGTTTAAGTTTGTTTCTGATCCCCAATTTTTTAAATTTATACTAGCTTCTTGCCACCCCTCCCCCTCCCTCCCCAGCTGCCCCCTTCCCTTTCCCTGGTACCCCAGCCATTCCCACAATGCCCACTCTTTTCCATCCTACCCTCCAATCTTCCAACCGCCAAACACCAATCGATACCTACATCTCCACTGCTCTAGGCTTCAACAGACCAAGTCCTGCCATCCAGTTACGTAATCGGCGGTCACCCTGGTGATGAGTTCTTTCTGTTCTCTTACTGGTTTATTCCTTATTTTTTTTATTCCTTAGTATCTGTTTGATTACAAGTCCCATTTTAAAAAATCACAATCAATTTTTAAAGTCAGCAAATTGGGATAAGTTATTCATTTAGGATTCCTATGAAAACAAAAGAAAAAGATGACAAATCAAAGAGGAGACCAATAGATTCTTGTACATTTGACTAATTTTTCATTACAAAAAAACAAGTAGTACCGTGATGAACAGGTAATTATTAGATTTGGAAATTTCGGGTTGAATTGTATTCTAGCATTGCAAACCAATGTTAATATTTGTTACATACTGTCATTAGGTACAACATTTTATGAGCAATTTTGTTATGTCTTGTGAAATGGAACTTTAAAAGGCCCCCAACAAAACTGTTTAAAGACAAATATAGATTGAGAAATAATGTAACGGTAAAGATGATGGCGAAAATAAGTAACCAAAAGAAACCGTTGGATCAATAAATATTTAGTCTGTCTATAGGGTTAGGAATGTACCAGTTTTGGTGATATGTTTGTTTTAAATAGTAACAAACAGATTCCAAAAGTAATTATTGGCATGTTCATTTTATTTGCTGCAACAATAACCTGTGCTTCTAGCCATTCAGCCATCTTTTTAGTTCGTCTTTCATTAATCAATTTCAGAAATGTCTTCTTTTTTTCCTGCAAGCCTGCACAATCCATAATGCTATTTGGCTTAACCATTCACTCTCCCCAACCCCCTCACTTTCCTGCATGCTCAGTGTAAATAATCACCCTCTCACTAATGAACGTATTGCTTGTTTTCTCGGCCATATTATGTCTTTTTCCATTCACACTTTTTAATAATCAATGTCTTTCCACAGGGAACCTCACACACGTACAGCAGCTTCTTCATGTTATATTTCATTGCTATGTTATATGTCTTTTGCTTTGCTTGTAGCAGTGGTCAATTTATGGATGTCTTTGACTTGCTTCTGTAATCAGCCTTGACCGGTCAAATCATACATGTTAATGTATGTTTTGCATTCTATGTATGCATGACTTTGTTGCTCTGCACAGTAACTGAGCTTTTGATAACCATAAAGGAGGCCATTTTTGACCCAATTGATACTCATTTGAGAGAATATTTCTGATAATGATTTAGGTTTGAAAACACCTTCAGTATAAAGTCCACCTACAGGATTTCTTTCTTGATACAAATGGACTTGTAACACCCTAATAAACAAGACTTGGTCATTTTAATCTATACAAAACAGTTTGTAGTATGTCTAAAGAGCTCAATAATCTATAGTTAACTAGAATAAATGGTATTCATATTTTAATTATTATTATTTATTATTAACTACAGTGTGAATTACTATTAGAAAAATAAAAGTATGGATGTTCAAATGTCAGTTGTTTCAAGTTCTTTAAATCTGAGGAGAAACTATGGTACTGATGCTATGGATCTCATCATTATTTCATGAGTGTTTAGGTTCAATCCCTCTGTCTTTGAAAAGAGGTTTATGTCCACTGTCCTTATTTTGTTACTGCCGTAAGTTTTAATCATTTTATTTTTGTAACACAATAATGGTATGTTGTGTGCATCTAATTAAGAGATACACAAATGATTGCAAGTTTGCATGACAGAATAATTGACAATACACTCATTCACACCTGCATACGTCTATCTTGTCATCTCTTCTTCTTATACAGGAATTCAATGATAAACGTTTCAAAATTCTTGCACTCGTGCTTGCGCTAAGGGCTTGCCAGTTTAACAATTTGTTTTCTTGTATTGATTACAACTACTGATTTTGTTTTACTTTGAGTTTCTTCTGCAGGTTTCGATGTAGCTATTATAACTTGAATGTGATAAATTGAATGTTGATTCTTGATTTGATTTCTTTTCAGTTGACTGAAAGTGCTCATTTCTATCATGTTGTTGTTATGAGCTAGTCTACTGCATGAGAGCTTGTTCACTGGATGCATTGTTTCTCCTTTACAATAATAATTGAAATCAATAAAAAATGAAAAACAGGTCGAAACTATCATGCATTGTTAGATGCACACTATATGACATCTTGTCAGTTGACAGATCTCATTTTTATTTTAAAACACTATTGCATCTCAAAGCTTCTTTGATAATTTATTCCTTCTTCATAATCCAATAGGGCTTCATTTTATTCCGTCACAAAAATATATTAATAGCTGTGAAGATAATCACCCAGTCTTGCCCAAGCCTTAACTGGTACCAGATACTTGTGAGCAGGATATTTGGGGTTGGAGGAGTGGACGGGTCCATAATGTTCAATAGCATAGTGGTACTCCCTATGGATGGTACAGTTACTTCTAAATGTGAAGACCATTTTATTTGATGAAAAATGATTAATCTGTGCGAAAATTAGGAAGCTATCCTCTGCACCATAGACATGCTTTCATTACTTCATCAAAGCATCTGGCATGTCGTTATCATTTTCCGTGCTCACAGTATTCTCAATCCAACTACTCTTCCTTTCATATTCTTCAGCCTTGCCTCTGTGACCTTGGAGTTGACATTGATGGTTTGTTGTTCAATATTGGCTATTGTTGTGTATGCTGGTTGCCATGGTAATTGCATGATGTTATTCTTTTCTTTTCTTTTGCTACAATTCTTTTCCTTCTTCTCATGTTGTCTCCATTAGGACGGTTTCATCAACCTGAGCGTGTTGAGATTATTTCGGGCAGCCAGGTTAATCAAACTTCTAAGACAAGGTTCCTCAATTCGCATTCTTTTGTGGACCTTCATTCAGTCATTCAAGGTAAGTCATTCAACCCTAGTGGCAGAGAGCAAAACACATAATAGACCAGGGGGGTGTTTCACAAAGATCCTAAGTTGAACTTATCTCTAAGGTTGGACTTAAAAAATTATGGAGAGCCATTTGTAGCCTTGAAATAAAATATATTCAATAGTGAAAATTCAAATATTTTTGACTTTTTAGAAATTCCAAAGACCCTGAAATCTCCTTGATAATAGAAATCACGAATGTTGTAAATCAACATTGTATGCCTTTTAAAATATCTTCTATAAAATATTTTCAAGGATGCTAATGGCTTTCCATAATTGTTAAGTCCAAATTAGAGATCTTTGTGAAACACCCCCCGTTTCACAGTTAGCACATGTCCCAAATAACCCTGAATATCCACAGATCTTCAAAACATGAAGAGGTCTCATTTTGTACATTTTGAAATAATCACTCCTAATGCGATGGAGGTGCTATATAAATAGCCTTTGTTTCCCCTTTTCAAAGAATACTTCCACCTGTGTCTCATGGAGTGCACAGCTTGCGCATGAATAAATAATTATGACATAATTTTCATGAGCACGTATGCAACTATGAACTGGCTTATTGTTGAAAATCATAGTTTTAGCACACACAGGTAGAACCAACCATTAGGATATAGAGCTTGTAGATACATACCTGTATACCATCTCAATGAGGCATAATGTTAGCTAAACTTGCATTCAGATATGAAAAAAAAGGAAACTTTTAAGTAACAAACATCAACAACTGTTATGCATTTTGAATTTGGATGTGTCTGTTCATGCCACTACGTTATACTAATAGCTACCTAATTGATCAAATGACACCAGGGACCTGTTTCACAAAGCCTTTTCTAATGACAAATGACAAAAATCAGTGACAAATCTGCTGATAACCAATCAGAAGCAAGGATTTCACTAGCTTATAACAAAAACTGTCATTTATCACTGATGACAAGTTTTGTGAAATGGGGTCCAGGTGGCATCATTCTTGCCTACCACGCCTACCTTGCAAGACATAACATTAAAGATGCACGTACCTGTATCTCTGGCGCGGAGAAGATAAAGACTCAATGAAATGCATAAAGTGTTAATAATATCTCCTTCATTGAATTAAGTGTAACAGGATGATGATATGATGAAGTAATTCTGTTCCTCTTGTTTTTCCAACCTTTTTATCTTCTAGGCCCTACCATGGGTTTGTCTGCTGATATGGATGCTGTTCTTCATCTATGCAATCATTGGAATGCAGGTGAGAGATATAGCATTTACCAAAGCACTTAAAATACCATTTCCAGATAATACGTAGTCAAATGTGAGATACAATATTACCTTCTTATCTTTTTTATGATCAACTCTTACAGAAAATGAAATTATACAGAACTGTTATTATGATATACAGTAGGCTTGGGGTTGCACCATGTGAGAGAGAGAGGGAGGATTGGGAAGTCCTGAAAAGGACTCTCGATAATCTTTCTTTCTTGAGTGTGTGTAGTCCTGAAAAGGACTGTTTGGTGTAGTCTTGAAAAAATTTGTTTGTTTGATTTGATGGTATACAGTGAATGCATTTTTATGCCTCCGCCACCGAAGGTGGTGCCGGAGGCATCATGTTTTCGGGTTGTCCGTCCGTACGTCCGTCCGTCCGTACGTCCGTCCGAGTTTGCGATGGTATGCTTGTGTGTTTAGTTTTACGTATGAGATATCCTTGTGTGTCACTTTAGACTTGTGTGTCTAGCCACACAAGAAAACTATCATATTCAGTGTCTAAGATGTCTGACATGTCATTTCTAATTAACTAAGATTTAGTCACACAAGAAAAGTTTCTCCCAAAAAAAGGCCCAAAATAAATGTCCAAATTTTAGAGAGGGGTTGTGTCCAAGTAGCCAAACGTAATAGTGCCATCTACAGTTGACATCCAGGTAGCTAGGTACTATGCTCATCTGCAGTACTTGTGTGTGTGTGTGTGTGACTTGTTAGTGTGTAGTATTTGTAAGCAAAGTAGTAGGCAGTGTATGGCTCTGTGTGTGTGTGTGTCATGGGTGGATGGTTTTGTGTGTGCAGTGTATATAATACATGTAATGTTTTTTTATGCCACACAAGCCTTAATTTTCTTGAGTTGGACAGGGGTAGACAATAATGTCGTTCTGCCACACTAGCCTTAATTTTCACGACTTGGACAGAGGTATATAATACATGTAATGTCTTTCTGCCACACAAGCCCTAATTTTCTCGACTTGGACAGGGGAAGATAATAATGTCTTTCTGACACACAAGCCTTAATTTTCTTGACTTGGACTGGGGTAGATAATAATGTCTTTCTGCCACACAAGCCTCTATTTTCTTGACTTGGACAGGGGTAGACAATAATGTCTTTCTGCCACACAAGCCTTAATTTTCATGACTTGGACTGGGGTAGATAATAATGTGTTTCAGCCACACAAGCCCTAATTTTCTTGACTTGGACAGGGGTAGACAATAATGTGTTTCTGCCACACAAGCCTTAATTTTCTTGAGTTGGACAGGGGTAGACAATAATGTCCTTCTGCCACACAAGCCTTAATTTTCATGACTTGGACAGAGGTATATAATACATGTTATGTCTTTCTGCCACACAAGCCTTAATTTTCATGACTTGGACTGGGGTAGATGACAAAATCTTTCTGACACACAAGCCTTAATTTTCTTGACTTGGACTGGAGTAGATAATAATGTCTTTCTGCCACACAAGCCTTAATTTTCATGACTTGGACAGAGGTATATAATACATGTAATGTCTTTCTGCCACACAAGCCCATAATTTTCTGGACTTGGACAGGGGTAGATAATAATGTCTTTCTGTCACACAAGCATTAATTTTCTTGACTTGGACTGGGGTAGATGACAATATCTTTCTAGCAACACAAGCCTTAATTTTCTTGACTTGGACTGGTGTAGACAATAATGTCTTTCTGCCACACAAGCCCTAATTTTCTTGACTTGGACAGTGGTAGATGACAAAATCTTTCTGACACACAAGCCTTCATTTTCATGACTTGGACAGAGGTATATAATACATGTAATGTTTTTTTTATGCCACACAAGCCCTAATTTTCTGGACTTGGACAGGGGTAGATAATAATGTCTTTCTGCCACACAAGCCTTAATTTTCTTGACTTGGACTGGGGTAGATAACAATATCTTTCTAGCAACACAAGCCTTAATTTTCTTGACTTGGACTGGGGTAGACAATAATGTCTTTCTGCCACACAAGCCCTAATTTTCTTGACTTGGACAGTGGTACAGGTATATAATACATGTAATGTTTTTATGCCACACAAGCCTTAATTTTCATGACTTGGACAGGGGTAGATAATGTCTTTCTGCCACACAAGCCTTAATTTTCATGACTTGGACTGGGGTAGATGACAATATCTTTCTGACACACAAGCCTTAATTTTCATGACTTGGACAGAGGTATATAATACATGTAATGTTTTTTTTATGCCACACAAGCCCTAATTTTCTTGACTTGGACAGGGGTAGACAATAATGTCTTTCTGCCACACAAGCCTTAATTTTCTTGACTTGGACAGGGGATGATAATAATGTCTTTCTGTCACACAAGCCTTAATTTTCTTGACTTGGACAGGGGTAGACAATAATGTCTTTCTGCCACACAAGCCCTAATTTTCTTGACTTGGACAGGGGTAGACAATAATGTCTTTCTGCCACACAAGCCCTAATTTTGTTGACTTGGACAAGGGTAGACAATAATGTCTTTCTGCCACAAAAGCCTTAATTTTCATGACTTGGACTGGGGTAGATAATAATGTGTTTCAGCCACACAAGCCCTAATTTTCTTGACTTGGACAGGGGTAGACAATAATGTGTTTCTGCCACACAAGCCTTAATTTTCTTGACTTGGACAGGGGTAGACAATAATGTCGTTCTGCCACACAAGCCTTAATTTTCATGACTTGGACAGAGGTATATAATACATGTAATGTCTTTCTGCCACACATGCCTTAATTTTCATGACTTGGACTGGGGTAGATGACAAAATCTTTCTGACACACAAGCCTTAATTTTCTTGACTTGGACTGGAGTAGATAATAATGTCTTTCTGCCACACAAGCCTTAATTTTCATGACTTGGACAGAGGTATATAATACATGTAATGTCTTTCTGCCACACAAGCCCATAATTTTCTTGATTTGGACTGGGGTAGATAATAATGCCTTTCTGCCACACAACCCTAATTTTCTTGACTTGGACAGTGGTACAGGTATATAATACATGTAATGTTTTTATGCCACACAAGCCTTAATTTTCTTGACTTGGACTGGGGTAGACAATAATGTTTTTCTGACACACAAGCCTTAATTTTCATGACTTGGACAGAGGTATATAATACATGTAATGTTTTTTTATGCCACACAAGCCCTAATTTTCTGGACTTGGACTGGGGTAGAAAATAATGCCTTTCTGCCACACAAGCCCTAATTTTCTTGACTTGGACAGGGGTAGACAATAATGTCTTTCTGCCACACAAGCCCTAATTTTGTTGACTTGGACAGGGGTAGACAATAATGTCTTTCTGCCACACAAGCCCTAATTTTGTTGACTTGGAGAAGGGAAGATAATAATGTCTTTCTGCCACACAAGCCCTAATTTTGTTGACTTGGACTGGGGTAGATGACAATATCTTTCTGCCACACAAGCCCTAATTTTCTTGAGTTGGACAGAGGTATATAATACATGTAATGTCTTTCTGCCACACAAGCCCATTATTTTCTTGACTTGGACTGGGGTGGATAATAATGCCTTTCTGCCACACAAGCCCTAATTTTCTTGACTTGGACAGTGGTACAGGTATATAATACATGTAATGTTTTTATGCCACGCAAGCCTTAATTTTCTTGACTTGGACTGGGGTAGATGACAAAATCTTTCTGACACACAAGCCTTAATTTTCATGACTTGGACAGAGGTAGACAATAATGTTTTTCTGCCACACAAGCCTTAATTTTCTTGACTTGGACTGGGGTAGATGACAAAATCTTTCTGACACACAAGCCTTAATTTTCATGACTTGGACAGAGGTAGACAATAATGTTTTTCTGCCACACAAGCCTTAATTTTCTTGACTTGGACTGGGGTAGATGACAAAATCTTTCTGACACACAAGCCTTAATTTTCATGACTTGGACAGAGGTATATAATACATGTAATGTTTTTTTTTTATGCCACAAAAGCCCTAATTTTCTGGACTTGGACAGGGGTAGATAATAATGTCTTTCTGTCACACAAGCCTTAATTTTCTTGACTTGGACTGGGGTAGATGACAATATCTTTCTAGCAACACAAGCCCTAATTTTCTTGACTTGGACTGAGGTAGACAATAATGTCTTTCTGCCACACAAGCCCTAATTTTCTTGACTTGGACAGTGGTACAGGTATATAATATCTTTCTGCCACACAAGCCCTAATTTTCTTGACTTGGACAGAGGTATATAATACATGTAATGTCTTTCTGACACACAAGCCTTAATTTTCTTGACTTGGACTGGAGTAGATAATAATGTCTTTCTGCCACACAAGCCTTAATTTTCATGACTTGGACAGAGGTATATAATACATGTAATGTCTTTCTGCCACACAAGCCCATTATTTTCTTGACTTGGACAGATGTATATATTACATGTAATGTTTTTATGCCACACAAGCCTTAATTTTCATTACTTGGACAGGGGTAGACAATAATGTTTTTCTGCCACACAAGCATTAATTTTCTTGACTTGGACTGGGGTAGATGACAAAATCTTTCTGACACACAAGCCTTAATTTTCATGACTTGGACAGAGGTATATATTACATGTAATGTTTTTATGCCACACAAGCCTTAATTTTCATGACTTGGACTAGGGTAGATGACAAAATGTTTCTGACACACAAGCCTTAATTTTCATGACTTGGACAGAGGTATATAATACATGTAATGTTTTTTTTATGCCACACAAGCCCTAATTTTCTGGACTTGGACAGGGGTAGATAATAATGTCTTTCTGTCACACAAGCCTTAATTTTCTTGACTTGGACTGGGGTAGACAATAATGTCTTTCTGCCACACAAGCCCTAATTTTCTTGACTTGGACAGTGGTACAGGTATATAATACATGTAATGTTTTTCTGCCACACTAGCCTTAATTTTCTTGACTTGGAAAGGGGTAGACAATAATGTCTTACTGCCACACAAGCCTTTATTTTCATGACTTGGACAGAGGTATATAATACATGTAATGTTTTTCTGCCACACAAACCTTAATTTCCATGACTTGGACAGGGGTATATAATACATGTAATGTCTTTCTGCCACACAAGCCTTAATTGTCTTGACTTGGACAGGGGTATATAATACATGTAAAGTCTTACTGCCACACAAGCCTTAATTTTCATGACTTGGACAGAGGTATATAATACATGTAATGTTCTTCTGCCACACAAGCCTTAATATCCATGACTTGGACAGAGGTATATAATACATGTAATGTCTTTCTGCCACACAAGCCCTAATTTTCTTGACTTGGACAGGGGTAGACAATAATGTCTTACTGCCACACAAGCCTTAATTTTCATGACTTGGACAGAGGTATTTAATACATGTAATGTTTTTCTGCCACACAAGCCTTAATTTTCTTGACTTGGGCAGGGGTAGACAATAATGTCTTACTGCCACACAAGCCTTTATTTTCATGACTTGGACAGAGGTATATAATACATGTAATGTTTTTCTGCCACACAAACCTTAATTTCCATGACTTGGACAGGGGTATTATAATACATGTAATGTCTTTCTGCCACACAAGCCTTAATTGTCTTGACTTGGACAGGGGTATATAATACATGTAAAGTCTTACTGCCACACAAGCCTTAATTTTCTTGACTTGGACAGGGGTATATAATACATATAATGTCTTACTGCCACACAAGCCTTAATTTTCATGACTTGGACAGAGGTATATAATACATGTAATGTTTTTCTGCCACACAAGCCTTAATTTTCTTGACTTGGACAGGGGTATATAATACATATAATGTCTTACTGCCACACAAGCCTTAATTTTCATGACTTGGACAGAGGTATATAATACATGTAATGTTTTTCTGCCACACAAGCCTTAATTGTCTTGACTTGGACAGGGGTAGACAATAATGTCTTACTGCCACACAAGCCTTAATTTTCATGACTTGGACAGAGGTATATAATACATGTAATGTTCTGCCACACAAGCCTTAATTTTCATGACTTGGACAGAGGTATATAATACATGTAATGTTTTTCTGCCACACAAGCCTTAATTTTCTTGACTTGGACAGGGGTAGACAATAATGTCTTACTGCCACTGCCACACAAGCCTTAATTTTCTTGACTTGGACAGGGGTATATAATACATGTAATGTCTTTCTGCCACACAAGCCTTAATTTTCATGACTTGGACAGAGGTATATAATACATGTAATGTTTTTCTGCCACACAAGCCTTAAATCTTCTTGACTTGGACAGGGGTAGACAATAATGTCTTACTGCCACACAAGCCTTAATATCCATCACTTGGACAGAGGTATATAATACATGTAATGTCTTTCTGCCACACAAGCCCTAATTTTCTTGACTTGGACAGGGGTAGACAATAATGTCTTACTGCCACACAAGCCTTAATTTTCATGACTTGGACAGAGGTATATAATACATGTAATGTTTTTCTGCCACACAAGCCTTAATTTTCTTGACTTGGACAGGGGTATATAATACATGTAATGTATGCCACACAAGCCTTAATTTTCATGACTTGGACAGAGGTATATAATACATGTAATGCCTTACTGCCACACAAGCCTTAATTTTCATGACTTGGACAGAGGTATATAATACATGTAATGTTTTTCTGCCACACAAGTCTTAATTTTCTTGACTTGGACAGGGGTAGACAATAAGTCTTACTGCCACACAAGCCTTTATTTTCATGACTTGGACAGGGGTAGATAATACATGTAATGTTTTTTTTATGCCACAGAAGCCTTAATTTTCTTGACTTGGACAGGGGTAGACAATAATGTTTTCTGCCATGACAAGCCCCTTGGCTTTTCATTGGTTCCTTCACAGCATTGGAATATTATTGCATTACCTGTATTATATGTGTGTGATGTTTCTTTTCAATGAGGAAAAAAGATAAATCAATTTTTTGGTCATTCAAATGTCACAAATAAATAGTTGTATACTTTTTGGACATCAAGTTTTTTAGGCACACAAGCCTTAATTTTCTTGTCTTGGACAGGGTAGCTGATCGTCTTTTCTGCCACACAAGCCTCAATTTTCACGACTTAGGCGGGTAAATGATGTGTTTTTGCGGGACACAAGCCTTAATTTTCCTGACTTGGATAGAGGTAGACAATAATGTCTTTTGGGCATACAAGCCTTAATTTTAATTTTAAAAAACCAGTCTCAACACATATTGTATTAAAAAACACACAAGATGCATTTTCATTTAATTTTAGACAAACACACAAGAAGTTGGGAATTAAGACACACAAGTAGTCTTTAGAAGGAAAAAATGAAAAGACACACAAGATACCCCTTTTTTTCAGACACACAAGACAAAAATCTCACAAGCATACTGTCGTGAGTAGTACCGTCCGTCCGTCCGTACGTCCGTCCGTACGTCCGTCCCGTTTGACCGTTATCACAATATCTCAAGAACCATTTAAGATTTAAACTTAAGACTCGGGAATAGTATTTATCACCATAGGAAGACGATCTGATTAGATTTTGGAGTACGTAGGTCAAAGGTCACAGGTCACAGAGGTCAACTTATGAAATTCCTTGTATTGAGTTTGTTAGCGCGATATCTCAAGAACCATTTGAGATTTAAACTTCAAACTTAAGGATAGTATGTATCACCATAGGAAGACGATCTGATTAGATTTTGGAGCACGTATGTCAAAGGTCAAGGGTCACAGAGGTCAACTTATGAAATTCCATACATTGAGATTGTTATCATGATATCTCAAGAACCACTGGAGATTTAAACTTCAAACTTAGTGATAGTGTGTATCACTATAGGAAAACAATCTGATTAGATTTTGGAGCACGTATGTCAAAGGTCAAGGGTCACAGAGGTCAACTTATGAAATTCCATACATTGAGATTGTTATGATATCTCAAGAACCACTGGAGATTTAAACTTCAAACTTAGTGATAGTGTGTATCACTATAGGAAAACAATCTGATTAGATTTTGGAGCACGTAGGTCAAAGGTCAAGGGTCACAGAGGTCAACTTATGAAATTCCATACATTGAGATTGTTATCATGATATCTCAAGAACCACTGGAGATGTAAAAACTTCAAACTTAATGATAGTGTGTATCACCATAGGAAGACAATCTGATTAGATTTTGGAGCACGTAGGTCAAAGGTCAAAGGCCACAGCGCACATTATGAATGCAAAAACAGCTTGTGATCGCGTTATCTCAAGAACCGATTGATGGATTCATGCCAAAATTAGGTCATGTTTGTTACTTGCAGAGCCAATGAACTGAGTAGATTCTTGGTTCATAAGGTCAAAGGTCAAAGGTCGTGGGCCCATTATGTATGCAAAAATAGCTTGTGAACGCATTCTCATTAGAACTGACAGATGGATTACTATTTAACTCAGAACATCTTGCAGAGCCAATGAACTGAGTAGATTTTATGGTCATGAGGTCAAAGATCAAAGGGTCATATATGTATATGAGAAATTGCTTGTAATCACAATATTCTGAGAACCTGTCAATGGATTACCATTGAACGTGAATTCAATTTTTTTTTTCTGTTTTGGTTTGTAAAATTGCTCTATAACGGAGGCATCATTTTCGACTGCGCGCAGTCGAATTCCATCTAGTTTAAATAGTGAAATGTCATCATGGAGGTTTGTCTTTGTCTTAGTGATGCTGCTCCTAGTCTTGACTATAGTCCGAGCCACTAGTGGGGATCCCTATGTCATCCTTTTGTTTCAGGGAGGGGAGAGGGGATCTTTGTCCTTCCTTTGAAACATAAGGATGACACAAAATCGCCGCCAGTGCCGGAGGATACATTTGCATTGCACAGCAAGGGAGATTGCGATATTTCCAGTTTGATATCACTGCAAACCTTTTTTTGAGATAATTACAGCTACGATGTCCAATATTTATAACAAAACCTATTGATGTATGCGATTATTACAACACAAGCGTTATAGACAATACAATATGATGCTATAATTTTCTTGAAGGAGGAAAGTTTTGAAATGCATTTGACTCTTGTTTAATTTGTCAGACATACATGTATGTTCTGTACAAATTTGTGATTATCAGTGAATAGTTCTGCAACAGCACACCTGCTTAAAATATAGGAGTCCACATATGTTCACCTACACATCAATCCACAGAAAAGAGTGTTCATGACTATACATTTGTAACAGTCATATGCTGTGGATGGGTGAAATTGACATATACTTTTCTCTTTTTAGGATCCCATTAATTAACCCTAAAACTTTGAACAGTATGATCACCAATTTATAGATTTTTTCAAGTACTGGTATTATGATTTCTCTCAGAGCTTGACGGTTTTTCTGAGTCTCCAACTCTAACATTATTAATATTAAGCTTTGATTTTTATGTGTGAGAAATAGTTTGTAAACATGTGTAGGCTACATGGACTATTATCAGTGATGATTGTACCAGTGTGTATCTTTCTTTTGCATACTGTAATATTTTGTACCGATTCTATACCAATCTGCAAATATTTGTGCTATGAACATTTGCATAATCAAGCGATTGATCCATCAACAGATTTTTGGTAACATAGCACCAATAGACGGACAGCAAATTAATCGTCACAACAACTTTGGCCAATTCTTCTCGTCGTTACTGTTGCTGTTCAGGTAGGAGTGCTGGGGAATTTCCCCTTAATGATGTCATCGTGGTGGTGGGGAATTCCCTTGCTGAGCATGGCCTTGGTTACAGCATACCATCATTTTTTTTCCATTATTTACATCATTCTTTACCCCCTCCTCACCAAAATGAAATGTCTGCTTTAGTGTTGGCATGGCATGAATGAGTGCCCCCAATATCCCAGCTTTGATGATAAACTGAAAGATAATTTGACAAAGACTTTAATGAAATTTGTTTCCAAATAACACAGATATCAGTTCAGAATAATGAACTTTGTTTTGATACTTTTGGGAAAGATGTTTTTTTTTTAATAGTTTATGAGATTGTCATATTTCCCTTTTCTAGGCAAATATTTGTTATCTTTCAGTTTATTGTTGAAGGACATGAAGTTCTTTGATTTTATTTTTTCCTGAGTTTGAATATCATCTGTGCTATGACTCAAAATTAAATTTTGTTTAAATTGCATGGTTTGCTGCCGTGGATCTATTACTGCATGTGGTCCAATTTATTTTGCTGCATTTGCTGGTTATTTTTCTTTGGGGAGGGGGAGGGGGGACGGGCAAGAAGAAGAAGATATTGTTGATTTGAGTCATGGTACAGATGTCAGGCTTGGTTTAATTACAAGTCTTTCTCTGGTGGAGGAAGGAATGACTCCAAATACCTTGCATGCCTCATCTCTTTATCATTTAAATCATTTGGGTTTGTTTTTGTTTTCTTTTTGTTTCTTTGACCTCATCTTACCCTACATGCATTCAATCCTGGGCTTTTATTAGATCTTCGGCCCAATCGGCATTAGTCCCAATTCCTCTATAACCACCTACAACAATTTCCACGTCTTCTTCTATGCCCTATTGTTATTATTCAGGTAAAATTTGCAAAGATCAGTTGCTGTGTTTGTGCTTTCTTTATGAGCTAGGATCTCTTGGCTATATAGAATTTGTGATTGAATGCAACTCCAGGGCTGAACGCATATCCTCTGTATTCTGATTGGCTGAAAGTCAACCTGCGTTACATTTTTGGAGTTGCGTTCCTTTTTCAAGTTCTTATACAAGAAGTCTCTGGCCATTATGTCTTCCCCTTAATTGTTCACAGTCGCTTTGTAGCGCAGGGATCAGAAGGGCGCTTGTTTCATGTTGTGGTCTAAAATGTATCCATATTTGATTACCTGTTTTGAAATCTTAAGTGCATTCTTACAAGAAGGCAAAAATTTACTTCATGGCATTTCAGCAACATATTCATAAAGTTTTTTCACAATTATCTATGTTAAACTTAAAGAAACTGTGAACATTTCTTGATTTTTTTTCAACACAAGACAGCCACTTATAAACAAATAGTTAACTGAACTACATATGAACATACTGTAATGAAAAGCCCACATAGGCCACACATTAGACACATACATGTATATGTTTTTCTTTAATTAGAAAAAATGAATTTGATCAAAGTGTTCAGTCATCTTATAGTTTACCAATAAAGTTCTTTACCTTTGTTTCTTGCTATGCTTCTTAACAGATCATATTGTTTTTATGAATTGCAATATAATTTAAGAAGAAGATATCATGGATAACAATGGGGCAGGATTACCTTTTATGCTTATGTGGAACAATTATCTAAGGGGGGGGGGGGGTCTTCTGATCCTATGCACATGCACACATTATGGCTAGCTTTGCTACTAACATTAGTACTAATGTGTCTGCTATACACTTTGTTGTATTTTTATGCTTGCGTGTATGAACGTTAAACATCTAAAAAAAAACAATTATAGTATATTTTACAAATCATATACAGGATTTTTAACTTTAAAATACACTTCTGTGCTAATTGATTAGCAGCTGTTGTTTCTGACTCATCTCAAAGCCTATGGTCATTGTTCATTATGGTCATGATTAATTTTGTGAACATACTAATATATATATATATATATATATATATATGTGTTGACTTTGAAGTTTTAATGGTAGCAACATTCCGATGACAGGATACTAGTAGAGGGATGATATATTATGAACATAGTGTTCCTCACAGATCAGCAACTTTCAGAAATTTTGGAAATGCATGTATCTCAAAAGTTTGTATTTTCAATAGATGTCTGTAAATTTGATGCCATTTTGTGCGGATACAATCGTATTTCTATTTTTACATGAAGAAACAAACATGTAAATTGTTCATTGGGATTGCTTTAGCAAGTAGCAAAAGAGTTTTCAAAGAGTAATTAATTTCATAGATCATGAAAAGTTACTCCTTAAATGTTATAAAATGATTTGCATTTTATAGGCTATGTAGACAATACGAGGGATAAAGATTTATTAGTATAATGTTAAGTCTAGTGGAGTGATGTATCTTTTGAATGTCATGTGTATGATGTAGTGCAGATGACTTCTCTTTCCAATTAACATCTGTCTAACTCAATGTATACTCTTTCTATACATCTTTCTCTTTCACTTACTAGTCTATTGCTCCATTCGTCATGCATTTCTTTTTGTGCTCCATATACATGTATGCGCTCTCTCTCTCATCCTCCCCCTCCCCCTCCCCTCTCTCTCTCTTTCTTTCTCTCCCTCCCTCTCTCACCCTCTATCTGTATCTCTTCCTTCCTCTCACCATTTATTGCATATTCCTTGTGCCATGTATATGCATGTATCACATTCAAGCATTTGATCAATCCTGATATGCAACCCCTTATCCTATTGCAAATATTTACTCTCAATGTAACTTTTAGTGTGAGTTTAGTGTGACATAACTATTAGGTAATACATGTAGGAGTGTATGTTATATAGTAATAATAATCATTTCATTTAACTATACTAATGATAATGTCATTAGTTTTGGTTGAGATAGTTCTATTCATATTTCATTTCATTTAATATCATATTTAATTCACAAGCTATGATTATAAAAATATATAAATATTAAAGATACATAATTATAATGTTCTAGATAGTAAAAGATTGTATAAAGCAATGAAGTAATGCATACAAATATTGGTAAATTATATTTTGTTCTACAATAGGAAGCCCATGTACAAATAGATGATAGTAAATAAAATGGAAGAACACAATTAGATTGGAGAAGAAAAGAGGAAAGGGGGTTGAATAAGTATAAAGAAGCAGGGGAAAAGAGGGGAGAGTTGATATAAAAGGTAAACAGAAGCTTTCTTTCTCTTTCCAAGTTAAGAACAATCATAGTTTCACACATCATAAGGAAAAGTTTCCAGAATTTACATCTAGATTTCTTTTTAAATTTTGGTCACCCATTATCAGTTCATGTTCTCCAATACATAATAGAATAGTCCCAAGAAAAATTAGATGACAGAATTATATTGTAACCTCATCAACCCTTCAGAATAATCTCTGCAGTTTCTTGCACAATTAAATTAACACTCGCCATTATTCTCTAAGCATTGTGAATATTTTGTTCCGACCTTACAGATGTGCTACAGGCGAAGCATGGCAGTCCATCATGATGAGCTGTCTACCAGGCGCTGCTTGCGCTGACCCGGACCCTAATAACCTATCTGGTATCAAAGAATTTGATACTTGTGGCTCCTACTTCTCCTATGTCTACTTCGTGAGCTTCAGCTTTCTCTGCTCTTTCCTTGTGAGTACAGCTCCTCCTTCAATCTTGGACACTTTTCTCAGAACAAAGTGTTAAAACACCCCTCAGAGCTTGACCAAATTCCGGGTTGCTTTGTTGTAGTGTTCAATTTTCAAATGGATTTGTCATATTCTCTTACACAAGAGAGAATCTGTTATAGGTTTGAACATGTTTTTGTGATGTAATTTAAATGTGAGAAGTTTACTATTTTCCTTGTGAAAAGTATCTTCTCACTCAATTGGTAAAGCATCTACCTGTCGAACCAAAGACCGTGGGTTTGAATCCAACCCAGTCAGATGACTGAAGCCTATGTTGTGTATCAACGTGCCCCTCCCCTTGTCATAGGCGCAGGATAGGTTACAGTGGAAGACACTCGTCCCTCAGATAGGATGTTGAATGGAGATCCAATGTGTGAGGGATTCATCTTCTATGCATGTTAAGAACCCACTGCACTATACAAACGTTATCAGGGGGACCCTAGTGTATTAATCTGAGCGAAGGATTAGATATCTAAGCCCTCCCAGGCATAAGTGATGCTAAATACTTTGTAATGACAATGATAATTGATGAAGATACTCAATGATGATTAATATTTATGCTGCTTTTGTTTCTTGTAGATGTTGAATTTGTTTGTTGCTGTCATCATGGACAACTTTGATTACCTGACTAGAGATGCATCTATTCTAGGAGCTCATCATTTAGATGAATATGTCAGGATCTGGGGCGACTTTGACCCCGTCGGAAGGTAAGATACCAACCTCTATATAGAAAGACCTGCACCTGTTTCATGAAACATGTTATCAATAAGAAGCTACAATAAATGTTAAAAGCTACTGAAATCGTGGCATCTGATTGGCTGAGAGCAAATTTGTCACAGAAATTTAGCATTTGTTATTGATAACAAGTTTTATGAAACAGGGACCAGGGCAGCATCTCATGAAACTGCAGAGATGCCAGCTTTCCTGGAAACCAGTTAAAACCTTCAAAACAACTCTGCTTTTTCATTGTGAGAGGAAAGACTTTATTCTACATATATTCTTTTGTCATGTGTAAATTTGCAATATTTGTTTGTTATATATTTGTAAAAATGCAAAAGAAAAAGAAAATCAAACAGAAATAAATAAATCAAATCAAATCAAATCAAAATTCAAGAATAATCAGTCGAATTAGGGGAAAATCATCAGGGTATTTAATTGGCCCACAAAAAGAAAGTAGCCAGTGTTCTATGTTCCAGCAGCATATGCATTGGATGGTTGACATGCTTAGGTATGCCCTTATTGCCTGCAACTACTAGGTAGCAACTACCTTTCATTGGTTTGAATAATGAACCTGGAAATTTGGAACTACAGAGAAATATTGTGGAATTTTGTTTTGATAAAATGTTGAGAACCCTGAAGAAAATGGAAATGCATGATACAACTAGCCATGCTGATACCACAGATAATCATCCTCATAACTTATTAAATATGAAAGGAAAAAAAAAGAACTTTGATGGACATTTAGTCCATCAATGGCTTTTCAACAATAATTATCAAACTTTTTTGTGTAGTACATATTTTGATAAATAGATTTCAATGTAGAATTCTTTAAATGTATCCCTTCAATTCATTTACCATGTACTTAAACTCCTTTCATGATTTCTCCAAGTACCACCTTTCTTTTACCTTTACATTGTAGATACTTTTGAAACATCAAAGCAATGTTTCAAAACTTATAAGTGACCCTACCATAGTATATATAGATGACAGTGTATTCATGTCACTGTGGTAGGTAAGCATTATGTAATATTCATGTCTAATCTTTTCTTGTCCTTTCTTTTCTCCTTTCTCCATTGTCCTGTTCAGTGGGAGAGTGCTGTACAAAGATATGTATGACATGTTGAAGAACATTGAGCCTCCAGTGGGTTTTGGTAGGAACTGTCCGTACAGAATTGCATATAAGGTAAGTAAAGAGATTGGATTGTATAGTGGGATATTAAAATAAGAATTTCCTTTTAATAAAGAGACGCTTCAGTTCTGGGGAGAGGTGAGAAATAATTTGTGAGCGTATAATTGCTACTATTATGTTGTTAAAAAGTGTGCTCTCATTGTTATTATTTGACATGGTTTCAAATCGTCCTTTTTGTCTCAATTTGATGCGTGCACACTGTGTAGCCGTGACCACACCATTAAGAAACAAACTCTCTACTATCATTTACCCCTAAACAGTTGACACTTTTTCACAATTCCTAGAGCTAGGAGTAGAGCTTATTGCTCTGTCAGGTTCTGGCTGTATCTGCAGCAGCTACAGTACAGAGCCTACGCAGTATTCCTTCAGCATAGTCTTTAAATACAGACACTGTTACACACAATGCCTGTCAAGTGGTTGTGCTTGCAAACTAAGAGGGAATTTAGGCAATTGATTTACTCCATCCTTTCTGGCCGAAGTGCCTGTAGTAGTATTAATGTACCGGTACCCCTTTGAAAAACAGCTTATAGCTGACAAGGGCAATCCATCCCATGAGTGGAGAATAAATAAAATAAATAAATAAATAAAAAACCATGATGAGACAAAATGTGTAAGTGTGTTCTCTCCTTTTTCTTCTTCCCCAACAGCGCTTAATCCGGATGAACATGCCAGTAGATGAAAATAAAATGGTACAATTTACATCAACGTTAATGGCCCTGATTAGAACAGCCCTAGATATCAAGATTGGATCAGGTAAGAATGATTAGAGCAGGCCTCCAAACCGTTATACTTCACAAACCTAGAAAAGTCTCAATTATTTTGTCAGCACAAGATTTTTATTGAATCTTGGAAATTTAATACATAATCCTAAAAGAACTGTCCATGTTTTTAAACTGGTGCTGTTTGTTTCATATGTCATAGATACATACATGTATAATGTAGTTCATATGGCTCTGTAAACATCAAACAATGATTTTTACATGGAAATGGATATCTATGTTAAAGATTATAATTTCAGTCATAGGGGCAAGAGTAACACAACAGTATTACTATCTTTATGTCTTTATAAAATACAAGTTTTCCATTTTACAAACATGTATTACACTTACGATCAAGAGACCAGTTGTTAGTCATAGAGTGTTTTCCATTTTATCAAGTTTTAAAAGTAATCCACAGAATCAAATTTTACCAGTTTAGAGTATTTTTTTAAGAAGAAAGACAATCTTCTATTAGTCAATATTAGGTTACCGGTAATGAGTTTATATTAGATTTATGAGACAATATTATATTAATTTGATACAATATTAAAATTAAAAGGCAGTATTAGATTAATTACTCAATTTAGAATTATAAGACAACATTAGATTCATTTAAGACAATATTAGAATATGGCCAGTTAAACGCTCTATGGAGCATGGAGAATTGATAATTTCTAATTGACTTTATTGATCAATTTGCTTTTTTTTCCTTCTCTAGTGGCTGATCGAGATCGTCACGATGCTGAGCTGAGGGAAGCAGTCAAGTGTTTCTGGCCTCACCTCTCGGGTGACAAACTAGACCTTCTGGTGCCTCCAGACAGCGGTAGGTCCCTCAGATAGGATGTTAAATGATGTCCACAGAAGTGTCGTAGTCGAGTGGTTTAAGCTCTTGACTTGATATTTAAAGGTTGTGGTTTGATCCCTGACACAGCACTACCGTCCTTTGGCAAGGCATTAATCTACATTTGCCACGCAATACCCTAGAGAGAAATAGGGACCCGGTAGGATGACTAAAGCATTTGTTATTAGTAATTGCCTATGCCCTCACGGAGACCATATGGTAGGAATACAGCCCAGGGAGTGGAGATGGTGCACATTATGTGTGAATGAATCCAATGACCGGGGTAATAATATACGTTTTAAGCACTATATTAATCCAGATTTTATTATTATTATTTTTATTAGAGCTCACCGCACATACTGTATTAGCTGCACCACTGTATAATCCCCTCTAGCACCATCTCAGGTCAGCTGTAGCAGTAGGGTCCTAGGAGTAACTCGCTGCTTCTCTAGCTGCGCTGTTGGTTCTCGCATCAAATCCTTTGTCTTAAAAGTGGGAATTAGGTATAGGGTTGTGCACTGTCGTCCATGAGATGGCGCTGTGCAATAAATAGTACACTAGGGTAGAAAGTTCACCAGCAAACAACTCTCCAGATCATTGTGTAACTCTCCTTGGTAAATCTTGTTCTGAGTGCTACTTTTCCTCTTTATATCATAGTCTTATTCTCTTTCTTTGACTGTAGAATTGATTGGAGAGAAGCTGACCGTGGGGAAGATCTATGCAGCACTTCTGATCTATGAGACCTGGAGAGAATACAAGGCCAAGATTCAAAGAGACGGACATGCTAGAACGGTTAGTCCTCCCCTCCTTATCATCATCTTACCTTCCTCACTTTCATTAAGCTCTAAAACATTCCATGATGTGACTTGCTTCCTTTTACCATGCAATCCCACGGAGGATGGAGGAAGAGGATTGGAGAGACATCATCCCAGAGGACTTGTTTCATCGGAATCATTTATTTTAAATGTCTCCTTATCATTTCCTATCCTACCCCTTTGATGATAAACCAAATGGTTTCAATAGTAACTAGACCATTGCCTGACCATATCCCTTGATGTGCACGTTTATCTTACTTGCTTCATTCATTCACATTTACCCCCTCCCCTCCAACGTATCATCGGCTGCCAGCCCCCACCTCTAAGGGTATCCTGCACCAGGTGCGTCCGAGGAGGGATCCCCCGTCCCCCCTCCCCCCTCACCGTAGAAACACACCCCTCCCATCATCCGAGAATGGTCCCCTTCCTCATCGTCATTAGTAATGCATGTCTGTAGGACGCAGCGTCTCATCCTTACTGCCAGTTTTTTTTTTTTAACTTTCTCACTGTTCAGTTACCAACAATCTTTTTCATCCATTTCCATGCATCCCTTGTTCCCATATTTATCAAATCGCTATATACATGTACCGGCGTCAAAGAAAGACTGAGCCAGCTTTGAGTACCGTAGGCATGTAAATACACATGTAAATGGCATCCCACATGGTTAACTTTTATACCAATCTCTGGTTGATATTAAACATATATTTCCCATCAATGATTTTTAAACTGTTTTTCTATCACTGATAAAAGTGATGATACAATCTGCCTTTTAAAGGGTTTTAATTTCATTTATTATTTTTTTTCTCTCTTCCATTTTTGCTTGTCTCCCCTTGGACCTATTTTTCTCCTCTGGGGTAACACAGATGCGTGAAGTTATAGTAATGTCTTTTTCTGCTTTTGGATCAATCTACCCAGTTTTCTCGAAAGCTTTCCCTAACAATTTTCTCACTTTTTATGCCTGGCTTACTCCACTAGTGTCTCTTAATGTTTCATTTTTTACTTAAACTTTCAATCTTTTGAGGGCAGCCAGAGACTGCCTGTAACAGTTATCTGTGTGGTGTGTCATATAATACTAGCATTTAGCAATAACAGGTTTTTAACTTTTCTCCTTCATAGCCATATTTTTTTCAGCTTCACAAACCAAATATATAAGAATTGCCCCTAATGTATGTAAAACGTTTTAAATATATACTCTAGTTTGCATCATATTTACAATAGTTATATAGTGGTGTAGATTACCAGGACATTCACAATTTTTTTCAGTTGAGTCGGGTAACCAAAACATCTGTCGTTGCTTACTTCATCCCTATTTATAAAATCAGAGAAATATTTTAAATAATAATAATAATAATAATAGATCACATTTATAACGCGCCTAATACATTGTTTCTAGGCGCAGTGGTGCTGTTGTCCCAGCAGCCATTAAGTGAAGCAATGTCCTTACACAAAATAAAGCGGTTCAAAGCCCCTTCACAATTCCAAGCAAAATTTAGGATGAATAAATCAGTGATTGAACTCTCCCCCCTTTTTGGCAGAACCTGAAAATTATCAGGACATGAACAAGTACATGCATGGAAAATGGACAAAAATGAAAACACGCTCTTTTTGTTTGTGTTTTGCTAGATCTTCATGCATGGTTATAAGTCCCTTCATATTCCTAATGTTTTTGTTTCCATCTGCATGAGATTTCCAAACTCTTACTTGTTTTTTGTGTTTCCATCACATTGAGTTTTGTTTTTTAAAGATTTTCCAGTATTTCATTTTAACCTCTTCAGTTCTTATGATAATCAGGACACATCTCCTAGTGCAAAAGCTTGCAAATTAAATCATATTTCCTATTGCGAAATGCATTTCCTGACATCCTCAATCAATTTTAGGATTATTTCTTCTACAAAGAATGTTTCTTAAAACTCTTTAGGAACCACATTTATCTCACATCAAATACTTTGTGAATAAGGACAGTAGATGTAATATGGATAATAATCGTTACTAGTTGAGCTAATGACTTTTAGTCTGTGCCCAATAAATCCAAATAGTCAGGAGAAACCGAGTATATTCATGGTCTTTCAGACCATTCTTTGTAATACTCATATATCAATATAACACTACCTGCATTTAAGATGCAACATATGATTTATACCTCTTTACCTTTAGTATTTGACTGGGATAATTGTGTCATACTTAAAGGGATGATTGAAATGGTAGAAAATTGATTAAACTTTTGATTGGGAACAAATTGGAGTCAGTGAAAAATAATAATTTGTTGCAGAGATAAAAGGGACCAATACAGAAAAATATGTATATTCCATCGAGGTTCAAGACAAATCTTCCGATCTTTATCCCCCTTACATTATGATAAATACAAGCCCCACATAAAGTTTGGACTACAAGCAGTCATGATTTCTTTCTACTATTTATCTGTGTGAATCTTATTATTTATTCCTTTTTTTTTTCTTCTTTTTTAACTGTAGTATCATTTTTATTTTGTTTTCATTTTGTCACTAGTTTATCATTTATCATTTCTCCATTTATTTAGCTTTATTGCAGTTGAAAGCAGAGCTTTTTTAGAAGAAGCATGACGTGTAATGTTGCTGTGCCAGCCATATTTGAAGCTCTCTTGTTTGCAAGGCACAAGTCACACTCATTCACAAATGCCCTCCTAACTCCTAACATGTACAAGCTACACAAATAAATGCTGAATTGTCAAACTTGCGCTTAGGCTAATATGGCAATTAAATGACTGACAAATTTGTTTTGTTTAATAGATAATCAACAAACAAAACAAATCATTATTATACATAACCTGCAATGTATACAGATAAAATATACCAGTAGCAGCAACAAAGTATTACTTGACATTAAAAGTAAACAATATAGCAATCTACATGTATTCTGCCATAATCATCCCCCATTATCATCACTGTATATTACCCATATACTATTCTTTATTTTGGGTGCACTGCTGGCTATAATCCCATAATTAGTGTTGTAAATACCATTTATCAATATTGATAGTAGAAATACACCTGTACCACAGATACACTTATTCTGGAACTTCTAGTGAGAATTAATTTGCCAAGCTAATACAATCATGTATTGTTTTCATCATGTTAAAAATCATTATCACTATCATCACATTGATAAGTCACTGTGTTCTTGTTAGTTTCCATCTTAATACATTGGCTCCTGGATCTGAGTGGGTCCTGTATTACGTATATGGGAATTAAATAATTCAGTAGTGAACAGATTAATCAATCAATTACATCAATCATTATCACCAAACCAGTGTGACTTGTAGCTCTTCAGACCAGTGAGCTGCCGCACCATTGTGTCGTTCTAGGACTGCAGTGTGTTTAGTAGTTAGCTGCACTTACTGCTGTGCCTGTGTTAAATGTGGAACCCCATTCTATGCATGCTATACCTTTCATCATATCTATATTAGGAATTGGTCTACTTCAAGTACCTCTACAAGAAGTATCCAGGCTTCGACATCAACGACGAGCGCTACCAGAACACCTTTTCCGACGAGTTTCGTCGAGTAGGCCACCATCTTTTATTTTTGTTTGCTTTTCAGTTAGTTAATTTTCTTGGCCAGATGAAAGGGAATTTGATAAGGAGTTTAATCCAAGGACAGTTTCAGTCACTATTGAGACAAAAATATGTTCTTGAGTGATCCTCGGACAAAGAGAAATACCCTATTGTTATTTGTCATGATTTTACCTTTGGACAAATACCTTATAAGCAACACTAATGTGATCACTAGTAACATCAAAACACTATCTGTAACACTCACTTACTACTCACATTTATACTCAAACATATTACATATTCATGAGCTGTCTTTTCTGTGTGTTTGTCTGTCTGTCTGTCTGTAAACTTATGTCTAGTCTTATTGTACATGTAAAAAGATTGTAAAGGGATTTGTGGTTGATGCTAATATGCAAAATGGGTGCTTGTGTGGAACTCTTCTTACCTGTATGACCTCTTATGCTTGATACCTTGAGTAAAGAAGTATAAGAGTAGGCATGAATGATAAATATGAAACAGTCACCTGAATGTGATGTGTAACTTCTTGGTGGTGGTGATGTGCTTATGTACACAACTTATTGTCTATGGGATGATGGGGAAAAATAATATCATCTTTCCTTTACTAATATAATAAAGAAATTTATTCTCAATATGTTTGTATTTGCTTTTTAATAATCAATGTATGGACATAGCTTTTGCATTTTATGTACACTATATGTATATTATATAAATGAGTGCTTAATATTGATATGTACATGTATAAGGTCAGATGTTAAAAAACCTTATGTGGTAATGGTATTCACGTAATCCAGAGCATGTATATGGTGAAGGGTTTTCTACACACTTCCTGTGAACTACTTTCTGCTTGCTGGTATGGGATGCACGGTGTAAATCAAATGGAGCACTTCACATATGGAGCTAGCATTATACCGCAGTGGGATGCCACATAGGACAATGGGCCGCCACATGGGACTATGGGCCATCGGATATGAAACATAATGTGGAGCTTTGGATGTTAAACAATCATGAGAGTCTACAGTATATCTTCCTGAGTGAGCTTCCAAAGGGATTACCCAACCAAGTACAGCACCTCCTTGCTGGAGTATAAATTGGTTGTTACAGTGTTGTGTCTCACACCAAAATTGTACCCTATGGTATACTTCACGAAATAGAGTGTACTATGTACAAAAGAGGAATAATCAAATGTGGTAAATGAAAATATTGCCACACCATAAGGAACTGCAGTGGTGTATTAGCACAGTGGATGATAACAGGTCATTACAGAGACTGACTGGAAAGCACACACATCGGAAAGTAGCACCTCAAAAAATAACAGCATTGAAATGAAATTCTGCAGAGCAAAATGGTAAGTCTTTCTTTGTGTGAATTTGCTGCTAACACGAACACTGACCAAGTTTCTGTGGAGCCCACACTGCATTTTAAAGGAAAGGGAAGTTGACAAATAGATTTTTTTTTTTTTATAACTTTAGCAAGGTGCATATCATGTGTTTCATTGTATTTTTTTACTGTGGTGGTTGTGGTATTATGCAGGGATTCTTGGTGGAGGGTAGAACTCATGTACATGTACATTGACAATATATCACAACTAACTTATGTGTTTTGAAAAGGTTACCATGTACACACATACTTGCTTTAATCCTAAATCTCCTACTTATCTATCTTATGAATCCTTACTACTGCTAAAGGAGATATTCAATTTGCCCTGACACTATTTTTTTCCAATTAATTTGACCTTTTTTTCTCCACAGTATCAGTCATGCCAGCAGATCTATTTCATCATCTTGTGTTTAGTTTGATCCACATATTTTTGTTTCTAGGTTCCAAGGAAACATTTTTCATTCCTTTCTTTTCTTTATACTTTATTATGATTGTAAACTATCCATTAATTTGACAAGATTCTTCTCTAGACAATGCATTCATTGATGACCTTCTGTTTATTGAAAGTATGTTTTTTATGAGTCTTGACTGTGATTTATCATCTCTACCATTCAATATGTTTGTATTCGTTGGTTATGATTCCAGGACAGTAGAGTATTTTAATCCAATATGCTCCAGCTCTCATGAAAAACTTTGATTTTACACCTTCTTTCAAGCAGCAACGAGAACAGATGAGACAAGATTATATCAAGAAAAGCGAGGCTCGTAAAGAGGCTGAGCGTTTGCGCAAATCTCGCTTGGCGGTTGGACCATCTGAAGATGCAGACGATGAGTCTGAGAACCTGCCCACATTCCACGAGGTATATGTGTGAGACTGCCCTCAATGTCGGCAGAGGAAAACATGTCAACAAACTTGTGATGGTTCATGAAATGGTTGCTTTGATACTGTTCTTTGAAATCGTTGATAAAAAAGAAAATAACGTTGTGTCTTATATAACAATACATGTGCAATAAACTTGTGATCAAAATTTCATTTGTTTATGATGAAGAAGGAAAAAGAAAATAACTGCTTGTCAAAAGTAGATTTGCAAGTTATGATTTTAAGTCAATATTGACTTCTAGATATTATAATGGAGCAATGCACCGCAGCTACGCAGTGTGCTCAAAAGATGTGCTGTTGCCAATTTGAGAATCAAAGATTAATGAGAAATTTGTAGGAAGCAAGAGACAAATCATGATTACCATCACATTTTTGTTGTCTAGTTTATCCGTAAACACATCGCTTGGTGGAAGGGAAATTATATTACTACTACTAGAATTGTTTTGAAAACTTTTTCCCATTATACAGTGTGTTTCGTAACAAAGGAAACCTAACTTTCTCCATCAACATCTGATCAAAGAAACACAACTAGATTTATTGTAATGCATGATATAAGAAGGACAGTTCATCCCCTTTATTATGATACCACATTTGTGAGGATAGAGCTTTGGATCATCAAAATAAAACGATTTAAAACAAGTAATGCAAAATAATTATTTTGACACGATGGAAAACAAAAATCAGGTTTCCTTTTTTAAGAGACACACTTTATTATGAATATTAACATGGCTGTGCTGGGAGAACTAATCAATGTTGTCAATGATGTTAACAAATGAAAACATAGACATTATTATACTGGGTATTAACCAGGTAATTTAATTCTTGCTGGACATCCTGCCTCAAACTGCCATTTTACACAAGGATGGAAGAGGGAAATAACCTGACATTGTGCAATCATCTTTATAACTTATTACATTGAGCATGGAAGAAGGTGCAATATTATATATTTTTACATTATTTATCAAATTATAACTAAAGTGAGTGTGTCTTCTGCTAAATCAAAGAAAGAAGCTGCGAGGCATTATGGGATATATTGGTATTAACTCATATTTCATTGATTGTTATGAAATACCATGAATATTATTGGTACCATGGTTACATTATACTCTAATCTGAACATGAATTTGACTGCCATGTTTGGCTTTAATCAAAGGCTTAGGCCTATACTATCAATGGCATATACTACAGAAATAAACCAATCAGTAATTAAAGTTAGTGCAAAAGCAATTAAACTGACTCCATTACATTACAGATGCCTTGATCAAGCTGTAAACATTAGAAAAATCATATTTGAAGACATCTTTATCCTGTTTAGAATTCTAAGCCTGGTGAAAGCTGAATCTGTGTCAAGCTCTGAAAAAAACATGTTATTAGTGGAAACAGAATTCACACAATGTGAAATTTACAGAGAAAACCTCTGACGAGGATGAAGAGAGGGAGAGAGGGAATCTCGAATATGGTGGGAAAAGATTCTGCACTACTGATGGGTTCTTACAACATAACTATTGCATGCTGGCTGACTTTGTACAAAATTTGTTTCATTTTGCGGTTTCTTGCTGGGTTCTATTACTCTTCTGGTGTATTGCCTTTTATTTGGTGATGGTTTTCAATAAACAACTTAACAAGTATACTCATACATGATCATTATCTTGTAATAGGAGATGTATACTGGTATTTAATTTTGATTATAGTATTCTAATGCATTTACTGATGTATGATCACAAAATTCATTTAGTACACTCTGTAAAATCAAATGAAAACATTTAATTTTATTTATGAGAAGAAAAAAACATGGCATTTAATAGAGACTAAGATTTTGGCAAAATTTCTGAAAAGTCTTCAAAACTTAGCTACACTATAATAGTGTCACACGTACCTACACTGCTTCTAACCTTCTATATTTATATACCTTACATTCATTTTAAAATAAGACACTTTATATTATCATGTCTCCTTTATACCTTAAACCATTTCTACAACAGGGTCTGAATGTACACTGGTGCACATTAATCCTTAATCTTATCATGTCCCATCTACACCTTACACCATTTCTAGAGGGGAATTTGAATGTATCAGCTGCAACTTAACACTTAATCCATGTCCTATCTACACCTTACACCCTTTCTAGAACCATGCGTTGGAAGGAGATATATCAGATATATCTGAGGTTGATGAGGAAGTGGCGGAACGATTCTAATTCATCTGGGAATAATCGCAGTGTATTCATTTAAAGGACTAAGATTTACTTTAAATTGAACTTAACTATGGCAACTATGATTTGTGACCACGATTTCTACGTCCATTCACATACCAATGCCAGTAAATGGTGAGAGCAAACAGTGGCATGAAGGCCTGCCATAGTTAAGTCTAAAGCCTTGGTCACAAATGCCATTACGAACTGCTACGAACGATTTTCAGACAATGGAAAAACGGAGATTCACAAGAACGCATCGTTCGTACGAACCTTTGTGACCGTAGCTTTACTTAAAGTCGATCTTAGTCTTTGTGAAATGCCCCCCTGATCGTTACATTTAATTGGAATGTGGCTACAGCACATGCCTCGATCATAGCTGCATGATATGGCTGATGCACTGTACCTTAGCACTTCATACTCATGCATTGGTTGTTAACAAGGACACTTACATCAACACCTAAATCACAAGTGTCTAGTGTATTGAGAACCCATGCACAAAAACGATGTGGTCTTTTAGCACGTACATGTAGCACCCTAT